AATGAGGTTGTCAAGGTCAGTCACTCTTTGCTCTTTGTGTTGAGGATCTGCAGGCCATAAGTTGGATTTTGGTGTAAGCCAGAGAACTGGGCTGGAATGTCATGTTACAGCTAATGTTTTGCAGTTGAAAAGGCAAAGCTATGAGGTCACTTCCTTTAAATCACCAACAGAACATGTTTATCTGAATGGTATATGTGAGACAAGGAGGGGGACAGGCTGATGACAAGCGGAAATAGCAAGCTTCCTGGACGCATGTCTATGGATACTGTAGGCTCAAAAAAGGAACACAGGGCTTATTTTGAGTAAGGTTAACCAAAGAAATAATTGGGCCAAGCCTGAAAGCTATAAACAAAAATAAAACTTCATTCATAGGTAGGAAGATGCAGTTGTTCCACATGTCTTTATTCCATATGACTATAAGGAACGCTTGATCCCAGTATTTAGCTCTTAAGAATTTCTGCTTGAGCAGGGGGTTGGACTAGAAAACCTCCAAGGTCCTTTCCAACTCTGTTATTTTGTTAAGACTGAAGGAAAAAAGCTAATGTTGTTACATACTGTAATAGACTATGGCAAAATTCTCTTTTCATTACAGTTTAATCTTACATTAAGGTTATTCAACAGCTAGACTGTTCCCAAGTATTTACTCTCAGCTGAATTAAAATCTCTCAAGGCCTCCTTACTTGCTTAAATCTGATTCCAGGAAGATTAGATTCAAAACAATTCTGAACTTTATAGGTACAATTTGATACCGAATTTATCAAAGGCCTTCATGACTGCTCTATCCAATGCTACTCTGCAGCATATTTCTTGACTGCTTGTTCCTTTACTCTTGATGGTTGATCTTAAAAGGAAGAAGCCATTCATCCCTTTGGTAACTTCATTTTCAGTTCTAAGGTTAGTTGTTCTACCTGTCATCTTTAGGAAATCATAGTTGTTTTCATATATACTGGCACAATATTATAAAGGCAATCTTTAATTATAATATCAAATAAATTTTAATATTTCCTGTATATTTCATTAGGAATGATCAAAACAAACTATGAGCAACAGAAAGTTGCAATGTGCAGATAGGTACATCTTGGGTAAGAAATGGAGAATTATGGATCCATAGAAATGTAGATAACAAGTAATTCTGACTACCATTAAATAAAAGTGCTTCTGCGGGCTGATAGCTGTGCTTTGCTATAATAGTACATTAAAAGAAAGTCTACATCAACAATTTCATTAACTGACTTTTTTAGAAAGAAAATATACCTTAAATGCTTAGCATACTAACCGGTAGCAAGCCATGTATATATAGCAGAAAAAAACTTGAATAACATCAATAACAATATGGAAACATATTCAAAATATAAAGGCAGTTTTACAAACAAAAGTAAATTCAGAAACTGTCTTCAGATATATTTTGAATGTTTTATGTTTTTGCTTTCATACAATTTCTTTTTAATACAAAATATGATTTATTTTAATAGTTATTTAAAAAATGAACAGTTTAACGTACATAAAATACAAATTATTCTATTTTTACACTCTCAAAATAAAACAGATAAGCACATCAAAAGTTCTATGCTAAATCATATTAAAGACCTGACATAGTCAATAGTTTAGATAATCTGAATATCTTATTTTTCTTTGTAATAGTAACAATTTTAAAATATGTTTTTAAAGTACTTACACTCATAAAGCAAGAGTGCCCTCTACAGTTGCATTAGGCCAAAATGCTCTTCTTACATCTATTTAATAAATGAAGCAGGAGTCACAAAAAAATAGTATGATTAATAAAAATATTATTGTACATATAGTTATAGACAGTGCTTTTTTTCTAAAAAAAAAAAAAAGTGCCGGAACTCACACACATCATACAACCCGCCTTGCCTACCCTACAGGGTTCCATCCAAAAAAGGTGCCGGAACTCCGTTCTGGGCGTTCTATGAGAAAAAAAGCCCTGGTTATAGATGTATCTTCGAATTTGTGTCCATGTATTAATGCTGCAATGTTTGCATCTATGTACTATAATAAAATTTAGTGATAAACATATTGATAGGAAGTATACAATCCTTTACCCACTTACTGGAAGTTAAGTTTCACTTAACTTACTTGATATATATGAAAATATACCAGTATATTTTGCTATTAATTATGCTATTAATTTCTGTATTTAATCTAGACTATTAATATATTCACAATATGTTCAGAAACATAACTTTCTTTATTAAATACATTTTCTGATATCGAATGGATTTTACCAGGGGTGTCAAACTTGCAACATCATGTGACATGTCGCGACGTATTGCGACTTTTTTTCCATTGCAAGCAATGGGATGGGCGTGGTTTCAGCATGACGCATCCAGCCCAGGGGCCGGCAGTTTCACACCCCTGGATTACACTGACATTTTACAGGGAAGAAATTATATTGTTCTGACACGTAAGATGGCAATTTAGAGCCATTGGAGGCTCAAAAAATATAATGCAATGTCACTCACTGCCAGTATTCACTTGGCTTCTCTCCCAAGGACAACTACAATCAGGGCTTATTTTATTTTCTAGAAGAGGAAGAGGAAATATAAGTTATGGATTTACATCTATGGAATTTATCTGCAAATTTTAATCAGAACCACAAGCTAGATATTTAAAAAGTGGAAAAGGGTTATTGTTATCTTGTCTGCTTGGGAAACTCAGTCACCATAGGCTGAGGATGAGCAGAATCATAGCCAACATGCCTGGATGATACCATTTCACACAATAAATACATGGATCTTTAAGGCACCCTTGATATAGTCTCATCTTCTAACATGTGCAAATTTCAACTTCCAGAATATTATTGCCAAGTTTGAAAAACACTGTACCAAAGAAAAAAAATATCTTTTAATAGGTTGCTTTTAAAATTATGTACTCTTTAGTGTATTCTGGAATCTGAAGTTCACACATCACTCTTTTTAGATTTTTTTAAATCCCAGTTTTATTATATTTATAAATAATACTCCCTCCTCCTAGTTTCCCCACAACCCTGTGAGATGGACTAAGGAGAGAGACAGAGAGACAGAGAGACACACTGGCCCAAGGCAAATCATTCTTCAGCTTTGTCTCAAATAGTTTTCCTTTGTTTAGAGACACATTTCTACTTAAGTCTCATACCTTTTCTATTCAAAATTTGCATTAAAAAGGATAGAATTAGAATGGTGGGCATACCTGCAACTGCAGGCGAGATATCGGAAAGACAAAAAAGACTTAGGCATTAAATTAGAACCAATAGAATTGGATAAAATAATTTTGGGGTCGGAGGATAAAATAATTAAAAAATTATACTATTATTTGTTAGATCAGGCAATGTACGAGGAACAAGTAAAAGTGACTATGTTGAATTGGAGCAAGGACTTTGGTCTTAATTTTGATCTGCACATTTGGCAAGAACTATGGGCAAGAAACAAGAAGCTTACTTTGGCCACCTCTTACAAAGAGACCTTTACAAAATGTTTTATAGATGGCATCTCCCACCCACAAGATTGGCTAAAATGTGTACCAATGTCTCCCCTAAATGTTGGAAATGTAATTTGACAAGTGGAACTTACTATCGTATGTGGTGGGAATGCACACCAGCTCGTGATTTTTGGAACAGGATTAAAGTATGGTTGGAAGAAATATTAGAGCAAGCGGTAGAACCAAAACCAGAACTCTTTCTATTAGGTTTAACTACGCAAAAGCATGACAAAGGCGTACTTTATTTAATGCTACACATTTTAACAGCTTCCAGACTGGTTTTTGTTCAAAATTGGAGGAATAAGGGAACCCCAACGGAAGAAGAGATCCTGCATAAAATTTTATCATGTGCTGAGATAGACAGGCTTACAATGATTATGAAAGACAAGACAGAACACGAATACTTCGAAATCTGGGGCAAATTTTACCGTTGGTATGAATTAAGAACTGCTCGGACTTCAAGTTAATGGTAGAATTAAAAGATATACATAACTGTACATATAATTGTATATATAATTGTATTGTATAGAAGATGAGGCTTGTATAGAGGTTAAGAACGATGTATTAAACTTTTGTACCATGATAGGAACTGATAGGAAAATTCATTCTGGAATGTCATGTTTGTCCACTGTTGTTTTAATTGTATTATGAATAAAAATTTAAAAAAAAATTGCATTAAAAGAACTACCTGTCTCTTGAACAATTCCTTCACCAGAAACAGATCTTAAATACTGAACTATTTCCTGCTTTTTATGAAAATTTATCTCCTGACTCTACACGTTCTCTTAAAAAAAAAAATCCATCGAGTTTGCTCTACGTGTTCCTAACGCCTAACCGAAAATAACTTTAAAGGCTCACATTATACTGTATTCCGACTCTCAAAGTCATCATCCAATAAGAATAAGAAAGGAAACTCATTAGGGCGGGAAATTTATTTATTTTTCCTGCAGGTTGATTGGCTAAATGAGGACGTTTTCGCGAGGGGTGGAATAGCAGCCGCCTCCTCGAATCAGTTTTTTAACTGATTGGTGGAGAGCTGCGGCTTTTTGGCGGGAATTCGCATCTCTGAGGTATGGGGTATCTTAGCAACAGAGGGAGGGGAGCTTCTGTTCGGCATTATTTTCTGCATTTTGGAGCCAAAACGTTTTTATTTCCTTTTCCCCCGCCTCTACTTGAGTCTTTTGCCATTAGAGTTGATAAGCGGGCCCGAGTTTGTTCAGAGTTTCCTTTGCCCACGGTGGGCAAACGTTATACTTTAAGTACTATTAAATTCTGTTTTATTGATTTTAGGCTAGAGGATCTCTTAAAACCATTAAGATCTTTGTTGTTTGAGTTAATGGAAGAAAATATAAATGCAGGGAAGCCTGTCTTAGCAGGGAAACTGTCTAACGTTTATCAAGTTGGGCGAATTATTTGAAACGACTCGGGGTCCTGAGGAGGCGCTCCAAGCGACTCGCGCGCGAAGCCAGATTTACCACTTCTTCTAAGGCACCGCCCCCCCTCCACCAGTTGCCTAACCCCGCCCCATCACAGGTTAGGGAATACGATTGGTGAATTATTCTCCCGCTAGCACTGACGTTCTATGAGAGGAGAAACGAAACCGGGAGGAATCCGCCAATGGCTGCCTTCCAATTGTCCCCCTACGGAAACTTAGGCGAAGCTCCTATTACAGGCGCCGCATGAGGATCAACTCGAAGAATAGAACAGGTTGCGAGCTGGTGAAGGGTTATCTTGGCCATCTGGGTGCCCTAGTAGAATTGAAGCTTGGCGTATTTTTTTCATACGTGAAACCGCAATCAAAGTTCCGCTTCTGAAGAAAAAAACCGATTTCTGGGAGCATCTGTTCCGATCGACACATTTTATGAGTACAGTTGGCGTAAGCTTTGGTAAGCTTGCTAACACTAACACGGCTCACCGATTACAGCGTCTGATGATGTGAGCTACCTGAAAATGTATCCCTTTTCATAAAAATGTGTTATTCGAAAAGGTGCTACCAGACTCCTTACACATTATTCCATAAATCTCTATCACACCACTTTATTCCCGCAGGCTACGGTTTCTAATGGTTTTAATAATTTTTGAATTAACGGCGCCTGTTATGATTGTAGTTAATTTTGCATTTTGTGTCTATTAGCTGGCCAGAGTCGCATATGTGAGATAGATAGGGTAAATATAAATAATACATTTCTGCCAGTTGCAATTTCTAATGCTCGTTAAACTGAAAAAGAATAGCATGATGGGAACGTGTGATATTCCCAGGATAGCTAATTGGAAATAATTTGAGTTGTATAGTATTTAGATTTGATTCCATAAAGATGCTTTGGAGCATGAAATGCAACAGCTGCATTTCTCCCCCCCCCCCCCCAATCGTCTGGCTACCTTCTACAATTAATGTGTGATTTCAGGAAAGGCTTTAAAGAATTCTGAACAGGTGACATGGTTGCAGCTTTGCATGATCAGAAGAGCTTTCTGGAATTTATTTAATTGTTTATGAAATTTATTTCTTGTATCCAATGAATCTGGGCAACTTAAAACAAATTATAAGGAAGTAAATTTTATGCACGGCAAAGACCTAATTAAATAGCTCATATTTCTCCTGAAATTGATTATATTTAGTTATTAGATGTCTGTTTTCTTCTCCCATCTACTATATTCTTAACAACTAATTCTAACAAACTATTTATAATTCTTGCACTCCTTATTCCTTTTTGAAAAAGAATGAGCCAAAAATCAAGTCCTTTTATCATTCTAGTCACATACTTAATCTTTGTATCCCTAAGCTGGTTTCAGTGGTTCCTGGATCTGATGCATACTTTTTTTTTTTTGCCATCAAATCTCAGCATTATTCTGTTATTTTTCTCATAACTCAATATATCCTAGTCTTTGATGCTCTTCCTTTCACCACTATAGCCATTCAAAGGTCACCAGGTGATCTACAACTATAACTCTTACCTTCTAATGTTAATTTTTACCTTCCAAACTGTACAGTCCTCTCCTCCTGTTCTTATTTAATTTGAAATGTTAGAGGCAATCTTAATTTTAATGGGCATAAGCATTAAAAAATAATTAAACATAGCAAGCCTAATCATTGTTACTTGTAGCCAGTTGTAAAGGTTTTCAAAATATTAAATTCTTGCATGTGGAAAGGGAAATTAACATGGCTATCCTATGATAACTCATGCAGCAAATGTGTTGATGGCATAAAAATATTTTCTTGCAATCTTTCCTTGAGATGTGTGCTATGCAAGTAAATGAGTTTGACTCATCAGATGAGGAGTCCCTGGGGGAAGAACAGACACCTTTTCAAGTATCCTGGTAGGTGGTGGAGCAAAAATCATCTTTTAAAATTTTTGGACCAACTTTAATATTCTGGCCATACCTGATTCACATATTGTCTTTCTTAATTTACTCCATAGTATATAAATGATACATCACTATTTAATTTTCTGCCATCTTATTTAAGTGACAGTCTTCTGAACACTATAATAATTTTCATTCTGCTTTTCAGAAATTCAAAATAATAACTTTGTAACATAACTTTATAACATAGCCTGTTCTTACCTTTTCTATAAATTGACTAAACATATGGAAAGGTTAAATGTTTTTTTTAATTTTTTGTTTTTAAAATTTCTTATACATTTCTTGGTATTCTTTGTTATAGTATAAGTGTATGCAAATGAGGCTATTATGTAAAAATTGTACCTGTAATGTGATTAGGAAAACTGATTGTGAGTATGAGACAACGACCTCATCCCAAAATAATGGACTCTAGATGAGGGAATCAGTATAAGTCTTCTATTGGTCTAGTATTGGTCTAATATTCTCTACTATTGGGATCAATATAATACTCCCCCCCCCATGTATTCAGTGTACATGTAAAGATTAAGATGAAAGTAAAGTTACAGAGGAGAATGCTTAATGGATGCTTTCCAGCATTAGGCACACCTATTGTAATCACAACCTGAAAGTTTGAACCTTATCCATATGTTTAACTCTCCATGTCTGAGATGTGATTTTTTTTATTAATTTTTTTTATTTTTAAACAAAACAAAACAAAATATACATACACACACAGTATCCCCCCCTTTTTTAACAGCAATTTCGTAATGGTAATCTTCTATTATTTACATTTCCCCCCCTTATTCTTCTTTAGAATATTTGTCCTTATTGCTCCGGTGTTTATTTGCATTTTTCTTCCTTCATACATATTATTATTACTACACATGTTCCACTTTTGACCTTTCCACATTTATTCTCCTCTATTATTTCTAGTCTCCAACCAGTCATACCTGAGATGTGATTTCTAATGCTTATAAAAATGTGACATACATGAGGGTGAATATTTTCACTAAGCTATTTTTCCGTCCTTGAATATATTTATTACTCTTTTCCAAAAATGGAATCACACATTGTAAATATTTCAAAAAATTCTGTAGACTATTTAGCCCAGGGGTAGACACCCTTGGCTCTTTTATGACTCGTGGACTTCAACTCCCAGAATTCCTGAGCCAGCCATGCTGGCTCAGGAATTCTGGGAGTTGGAAGTCCATGAGTCATAAAAGAGCCATGGTTGACTACCCCTGATCTAGCCCAATCCCTTGCCTAGTGCAGGAGTCCATTATTACAGCATCCGTGACAGATAACCATTCAGTATTTTCCCTTATTTATTTATATCCTACCTTTATTATTCTTACAAATAACCCAAGGTGGTGAGTTCTTGAGACACTCCGATTGTTGGAAATATATTTCCATTAGGTGGCCAGCTGAAATCTACTTCCATGTAGTTTAAATGCACTGTTTTTTGTCCTGTCTTCTGGAGTAACTCTGAACAATTCTGTCCCATCTTCTATATGAGAGATATTCAGTTATCTGAATGTCTGTAAAATCCCCATGATCATAAGAATATATAACATAAATAGAAAAATAATTGTAATGCAAACAAATGTTTACTTACCTAACTAGATAAACAGAATGATCACAGATAGGTAAAATAGCAGGGGAGCAGGACTTCTAACTTCCTGCTGGTTTCCCCATTGTCTTTGCTTGTAGAAAGCTGGCAGGTAGCATCAGAAATAATGATCATGTGATTGTAGGAATACTGAAATGCTCCCAACTTTGTGAATAAAACTGGTTGAATTTGGGCTAACCTGAGAATATACTATGATAGTTTTAGCAGTAAACAAACTATACAGATCAAATAATTACATTTCATATGAAATGTACACTGATTTTGGTTGCATATTTATGTTAAATAGACTAAATTTTTCTCTTAGGAAACTCTTATATGTGGAATTAGTGAGTAAATTTATCAGTTCACTCTTGTATATTTTATTTATTTGATTAAAATTGCAGCACTCTCAGTAGTTCACAAAGTAAAAAAGCATAGAACAAATCATATTTAAACAGTGCATGACATCAGCCCCCACCCCACCCCCATTATCTGGAAATACCCTTTCTTCAGCTTGTTCTGGAAGGTGGATAATGTTGGAGACAGACTGAATCTCCAGGGAGAGGTCATTAGAGGACTAGCTCCATCACCAAAAAAAAAATCTTCTGTGTTTTACAACACCTCAACCTCCTGAAAATGAGATATAATTAACTTTTTCCTGTTATGATTGAAGTGGTTGAGCTGTTTCTAGTGGAGAAATGCAATCCTGCAGTAACTAGGCATCAAACCATAAAGGGCTTTATAGGTAAACCAGCACTTTAAATTGCATCCAGAAGTTAACGGAAGCCAATGTAATATATGCATGCGAGCACCTGGGCCATTGCATTTTGCACTTAGTAAACCCCCACGTACAGTTGCCTAGTCAGGTGGTGATGGAAGTGTGTGAGGCATTGTAGCCAGGTCCTCTAATCCCAAGTAAAGCCACAAACCACCAAACTTCGGCAAAGGTCTCCTGGCCACAGCCTCCACTTGCTGATCCAGCAAGACCCCTGAAGGTAGAAAGATGCTACTTCATCCCATTCATAGAATTATAGGGCTGGAAGGGACCTTGGAGGTCTTTTAGTCCAGGGGTTAGTCCGGGCCGCACAAAGCCCCATTCGAGGGATGCAGGCAGCACACAAACCATGCCCCTTCTGATCCGTGGAAAAACCTCTCTTCACGTAACCGGTCCCTGGTGCCCAAAAGGTTAGGGACCTCTGCTCTAGTTCAACCCCCTACTCAAGGCAGGAGACCTTTATTGCATCTTGAACAAATGGCTGTCCAGTCTTTTCCTGAAGACCTCCAGTGTTGAGCACCAACAACTCGGGGAGGCAAGATATTCCATGGAGTAATTGATCTTACTCTCAGGAAATTTCTTCTTAGTTCCAGATTGAGTCTCTCTTTAACAAGCGTCCAGCCACTGCTTCTTGTCCTGGGTTATTCAAATTATATTCACTATTCAAATTTTTATAAATGGTTAGAAAAACGGAATAAAGGCTAGGAATGGAAATTGTATAACTATTAATGTTAAATATATAAACCCAGACAACATGTTGCTTATTAAATACTAAAGACTGTTACTGTAAAAAATTAATTATATATATAGCAGAATATATTCACTATTCAGATATAAAATATGAGGTGTAGAGAATCCCAATGTATAAACAGCTTCATCTTGCTGGGGTTTATTTGTATGTCTTGAGAGCAAAAGGAGTAGATAAAAATATCAGTTTGTAAAAACTTAAGTGCCATTGGATTTTGTGCATTCTTGTAGGTTACCCTTATCACCAGCTTATTCCCAGTTTCTAGGAATCAGCTCGCTACCAGGTAAGTGCATACAAGTAGCTAAAAATGAATCTATGATTGTTTTATATTTATAGTATTTGTTTTAATAGCAGTGTTTGTTTCTTTTCTTTTTCCTCTTTCTTACTTGATTAGGTTGTCGATTCAAAAATATTAAAAGAAACCTTCAGAAAGATATAGGTAATTATCTATCAGTGGCACAGAGGTATGTCCTTCAGTAGCTTATTTTTCATAAAACTACTTTTAATGCCTTGGAACCGCAGTTAACCATTTATTTGTGTTAAAGACCTGTATTCCACAAACCTATAACACTGTTGTAAGAAACACAAAAGTAAGGAAGAGAATCCCATGAAGCAATTGCATTAACATATGGCATAAAAAATACCCATTCTTGCATCTGAAAATAGACTACGTAGATAGCACTTGAAGCATCCTGAAAAGATATTCCAGAACTGGAACTCCAGCATGGACTTTCTGTTAACCACTTGATTAACATCAGATGATGGGCAACTGGGGAAAAAGCCTCAAAGCAAAACATAATGCATGGGGAAGTTCATATGGCAATCTTAGTTAAGTATGAGCTTTGGTGAAATAACAGATTGGTTTGTTAAATAAGTACTTTACATGGAAAAAGTGCTTTTAAAAGTACACATTGTAATTTAAAATTTAACCCTCTAGAGATGTTGGTACTCTCTAGCATCACTCATCATTAAGTGCAGCTTCTGGCATTTAAGATTCAGCAAGAGGCAAGACTATAGGTTTTCCTTTATATAAATGGTGTGGTTTTATAATTTCTACTTGTAACTTTTGTATATTCTTTTTTAAAAATAATATAAGCATTTTAAGAGTTTTCTTCTGAAAGGGACATTTTATTAACACTATTTTTAATTAATAATCTTACCACATACTCAGTAAATATTGCTTTTCTTTCTTGAAACCTCTTGTATTTGCTAACAAAATGAAATAACAAAATAGCAGATTTCGCAACAAAGTGCAATTTCTACTGCTAAAATTAGGCAGACTTAAATCTGATATTTTTATTTGCCTAACAGATAATAATATACATATTACAACTGCTGGCAAAGCTACTTAGAAAAGTTTGCAAATTACACTTTTCTAACTGGTTTTGCAATCAGTTGTATGAATATCATAGATATAGATGGATTCAGATTTGTATTTTATTTAACACCTTAGCAAATATGGAAATATGTTGCCTTTTTTGTAGATGAACTAAAAAGTCACGGGGTGCTCGATGTATTTGTTCTCTGTACCAAACGAGAACTCATAAAGTACCGTGTCCCACACCTCGTGGAAACGTATCAGAATTATGGGATCACTGTGCATCACCATCCTATTTCTGATGGAAGTACACCAGATATTGCCAGATGCTGTGTTATTCTAAATGAACTGAGGAACTGCCTTGAAAATAAACGAAAAATCACAATACAGTTGAGTTCTGTTATTCTAGTCATTTATTCTCTTTGAGTAAATAAAAGTGATTCAATCACTGAATGTTCATCTGCAATCTCTGTGCCAAAATTTGACTACTATTTGCTGCAGTCAGCTTCTGCTGTATCATTCCAAAATACAGATCAGATATACATACTTTTTTCTGCTTTCTATCTAAGGGACTTCAAAGTTGCACTGAAGAGTAGAATGCCCAGTCTCCTATTCAGACTCCTTTGACAATTTCAGTAGCATAAAAAATACTACTCTAGAATATATGATAACAGCTTATTATGAGAAAGTTGATAAGCACCAATATTAGTAGTCTTAGAAAAAAAGAGCATTGTATAAAAGTTATACTTTAGAATAGTAGATCCACCTGAAAACATCTATGTATGAAGAAGTGTCATTCACAGCAAATTTTAAAAAATCTTGGTTATGGAGTTTGTCATGTTTACAGCTAATGCAATATATTCATTTTTAAAAATTTCTTTCAGTTGTTATGGAGGACTTGGACGATCCTGTCTCAGTAAGTGAAGTGCTCTGTTTATAAAATTATAAAGTATTGCTTTTCTTAATATTACTGGTAATATTCTCCAGCATGAATTCAGCTAATCACAGAACTATTTTCTCTGCATAACAGGCAAAATATTCTCCTCCAATACACAAAGACCTATTAAAAAAACCAAAGCTCTCTTTAATCTCTCACAGCCAGCATTAGGCTCATGTTGACTTTTTCATAACAACAGATTTTTCTCCCAGTTTGAAGGAGATAAACACATCATTTTCTATCAATTGTAAGAACTATTCTTTTTTAAAAAGCTGATCATGAGGAACTAGAATATGAGATACATGTATACATACAAATTGAAAAAAATAAAATAAATGTGTACTATCTGTGTCCTATCAGGAATTCTTTGATATAATGCTCAACTCAATGAAAATTGTGAGGGTTTTGGCACCTAAAAGATTCCCACATGTATTGTGTAGCAAAAGTTTCAAGAGTGAAGCCGAAGCCCTATCATGATAACCATGAGCAATAATGTGGCAGCAGACACTTCCCTTAGTGCTTCAACCCACCTACTTTTTTTAAAAAATCATGTAAAAAGCATTTCACAGGAAGGTGACATGCAGTAAAGCAAGTGCTAGCATCTCAGTCATAGTTTCCAAGAATGTCTGAGTGTGCTATAAAATAGGAAAAATATTAAGTATGTTATTTCTATGCTGACTTCTAATTTACTCTTTATCTCTCTAGTCTAGTCTAGCAAATCTTCATTTTATAGCTTTTACCATATTTTCAATAACAAGTATAATCAAGGGAAGAAATGCGAGTAATTTCCCCCCACAATCCTACATAGGTGTATCTGCCATGTAGGGCAGTTAAATAATAATAATAATAAAGATGGCCACAGCTATCTTTTAGGATGGGGCTCGAACTGCACGATTGTGATTTCCATCTTCATTTTTTGACCATCTCTCCCTGCGGATACCCCTGCTTACATAGAAGCTATGCTCTCTGAATCCAGCTAGCTCTGCTTCTATGATAAATCCCTATTAAAACTATAAACATAGACTTGGATTCTTGTTTCAGGATCAGGTGTTCCTGCATTGAATATGCCTAATCTGCATAAATGCTGTCACTGATATTTTCCAGAATAGCTGACGTGAAAACCTGAGAATTCATGAATAAACATAGGAATCTTAATGTTTGGTTACCTTATTTACCTTTTAAACAGGTTGTTCCTCCTTGTTAAAAATTTCTTGTTCATTTATTCTATGGTTTCTTTACAGTGGAGGCTTGCCTTCTGCTCCAGATATCTGACACCGTAACCCCGCAGCAGGCAATAGACTGCGTGAGGGAGTTGAGAGGTTCAGGTGCAATACAAACATTAAAGGTTAGACAGGAAATAGATGCGTTTATTTGTTTAAATAAAAGATGCATTTATTTCTGTACCTCCATATTTCCTAAAACTTCATAGGATACTTGACTGTAGACATTTTGTTTAGTACTAAAAGTCTTTTCTGGTTTAAATACACCCTACTTGACCTCAGGCCATAGGCCACATCCATGGCTGCTACTGGATTGATTACTAATTCATTCTTTTGGCGCTTGCACATCCACCCTTAGTGCACCCCCGGGCTGAACTAGCTTTATACCAGTTAACTGGCAACGCTCAATATTTGTTGGTTTTTCCAGACTCTGCCAGTCTCGCCTCACCATATGTCGCGTTGCCCCGCATTGGTCAGGTCCAGCATCAGCTTTTGCTCTTGCACATATGAACACAGCTAGGTATTTCCCACAGTGGTACATTTAAACATTTATACTTGTGTAAATTACATTGTTTCTGACTCATTAGGCTGCTTTTAAGCTAAATACATAGCCATAAATTATTTAGCTTTCCTTATTTTGTATAGTTGGGCTTGCAGAACACAAGTTCCTCCATGTTGAAATGGACTGAGTAATTTATAAATCAGCAGGTAATGGGAATTGGAGCATCATCTTAATAGTGCCACCTCTTCTGGGGAACTGCTTGCCCTACATATAAGAGCGATATCCACCTTACTGAGTATTGATAAAGAACTGGAAGAGAACCTTTGGGGGGGGAATGTGTTTTCTTTCTTAATTTATGTGCTAATTAGGACTATTATATCTTATTTGTCACTCTTTTGATGTATCTGTTTCTATTGTCATATAATATAGAATTATATTTTTATTTACATCCTACAGACTTTACTTGGAGCCATTATGGAGTAGAGCAATATAGAGATACTATTAATAAACAAAAATTAATAATATGGTTTGTTTAGATACAGCAGGTTACAGTAAAGGTAGTCTTCAAGTTGCAACTGGTCATTTAGCAACTGTCTAAATTTACGATGGACCTCCCCAGAGCTACTTATGACCCGGATTTGAAGTTCCAACAGCTGCCCCCACAATCACGATGATACATTTTGGTTGTTCAGTAACTGGTCTGCATTTATGACCATTTATCACATTTGCTTAACAATCACTATAAAATTGGGCAGTCACATGATGACCCATCTAATGACCGGCACTACTTAGGACTATAATTGCAGGCTCAAGAACAGCTGTCAAGGACTACTTATGACACAACTATGTTCTATGAAACTAGTTTGTGTTTATTTGCTGAGCCTTCTTCCTTTACTCTAAATGGGGCATGTTAGGATTAAGTACTGTGAAGTATTTTTTTTCCTCAGAGGCAGAGTTTTCTATTGAAGATTGCCGAAATCAAGGATTTTTCAGGGGAGGTAGGGAGAATCCAGGGGCTAACCTCTGTAGCCAGTTCAGCTGTTGGAAAATATTATAGAAACTTGTCCTCTTATAAGAATAAATACTTTCAAAGGAGAGGAGAGTCTGTCTGATAGAGAGTTGGGAGAATGGGAATCAGTTCTATGTTCCTTTTCTGTGGCTCTCCACTCATTTCAACCCATATTAGAAAAAGTTAAGTCATCCTAATGTTGAAGTCCAATCATTCTAAACCATCCTTTTTTCTTTACAGCAGTACAACTTCCTTTATGATTTCCCGGAGACCTTGGCTACCTATTTGGCAACAGAAAGTAAGCAACCAAGATCAGTATCCCGATAAAACACCCAGAGTTTAGTTACTACTTGAAACTGTATGTTGCGTTGTTTTTATTGTACCCATAGTGGAAAATAATTTTATTGACTGCCTGCCAGTTATCTCCTTGACAAGGGATATGTGACTAACTACATAGCACAAACCCCTGAATAAAGTTCCATCTGCGGATTGTATTTTGACAGCAAATTATAACATAGCAGAACGCATAATAAATATTTTTAATCTCTCGTTTACCTTATGCCCTTTCCAATTCCTGTTTAGTTTTCTCTGCTGTGATAGAGGCTTTTTTGTTGTACTCCTTTACACAGTTTATGGGAAAGTCTATATAAGACAATCACATTACCTTAATTTATATTACAGCAATGTCAGTTTTTGGGTGGAGTATATTGTAAGACACTAGCAATAGAAATACTGTGAGTTGTGTTTCATATGTGTTCACTTTTCAATTGTGTGTTCCTGAACACATGCCTATGGGAAACCAGATGTTTATTCACAAGTAGAAATGTTTATGAGTTTGCCTGTTCCCTGAATAAGCAATTCATAATCTCCCTTAAAGCAGAATAACTTGCATTTAAGTTGTCCCAATGTATCACCTGGAAGCTCACTCTATCATTACTACAACTACAGTACCAGTCAACCATAATGTTTTCAGTACTAGCAGTCCAACCTGCTACTTAAAACAGAAAATGGCAAAAAAAAAAATCTATATCATAAACATAACCCACAAGGAGCATGTTGTTATATTGCTCTTTGCATAAAGAAAAATGTAGGACAAAAAGACTTTCCTCTTGTTTGGCAGAAATTTGAAACAGATATTCTGCAATAGCAGCCAATTCAAATTCAAAAAATTTTATAAGATTGAAGTAGGTCTGCGCCTTGAGGCAATACGGCTATCCACCTACAATATTCATTAAATCTATATCCCATCACAATCTAGTGTCTCTTGGCAATTTACATGGTATAGCAAAAAAATAATAATTACAATACCCATGTCATGTTAAACATCCATGTGTGGTTAGAATGAAATAAATAAATAACCCTCCAAATAAAAGAAAGTTCTAATAAAAAATAAACAATGCTGCAGTGCATAAACTTGGAAGAAAGCTCTCCAAAATAATGTTAACATTTTTAGTCAACAAGGAGGCAATTAGCTTAATTTCTGTTGGAAGGCTATTCCAAAACACATACCACCATGAAGAAGCAGTTCTTTCTAGCTTGACCCTTCTTCACAGTTCAGGAACTAGAGATTGTAGTTTATGTCTGGAAGGACCACTGGGTCAGGCAATTCTGGTTGGAGCAGACAATCCTCTAGATACCAAGTGAAAAATGGCTTTATAGGTCAACCCCCACCTTTAGTATCTTAAATTGTAACCCACAGTGCAAGTATGTTATAGCACAATAATGTTAATATACAATAAGATTATTTGCTCCTAAGCCCAAGAACAGCTGCCATCTAAACCAGCTGCCATTTCTAGGTGGTCTTTAAAGGCAGCCCAGGTAAAGGTTTTTACATTAATCCAGTGCTTCTCAAATAGTGGGGCGCGCCCCCCAGGGGGGGCGTGAGGCTCCGTAAAGGGGGGCTCGTTTGACCTCGGCAAATACTGTCATATTGGATTTCTAGATCGGATCATCCGACTCACTCGCAAGCGGCAGCCCGACACGGGGGACAACATGACCGCCAACGCACGTGACACATGCAAAGGACCCGATTGGATAGACATGATGCTCTATCCTGATTGGCCAAACCCGCCCGTGTGACTTTTAGACCCAGAAATCGGTCCTCTGTACAGAAAAAAAATTTTTACAGTCGCGCGGGGGGCGTGAAATGTTTTCTTCTTCCTAGGGGGGCATGACAGAAAATAATTGAGAAGCACTGCATTAATCTAATCGGGTGATGAGAGCATGATATATACTTGACACCTTTGTAACAGATGAAGTTATAATTACATATCAGTCAAAGCTGGGAAAGGGGATTGCAGCCAGTTTTCACCTGCAGTTAAAGCAGAGGCCACGGGTCCAGAAGGACCCCCATATTGTGAACTTGTTCCTTCATAGATAGTGCCTGCCTTTGCAAAGATATTGCTATTGAGAATTGTAAAAACAGTAGTTTCATCTTGGTTCTATTTCAACCTGTTATTTTTCATACAGGTGCCAGGATACACCTCTCAAACTATTTAACATTTAACCTGAAGTGGCAATACAAAGTTACAGCTTGATGTTGCCACATCCCAAACTATCAGATGACTTCTCCCAGTGGTTCTATATAGCTTTTGAAAAGCATGAGAGAGGCATCCAAACCCTGTAGCATTACACATATTGGGGTCATTGGACCAACTTTACACACACACACACACACACCCCATCACAGATTGAAACTGTGATGAACTATTGCAAAACAATCAGTCCCCATAAATGAATAATCTCTGCCCATAAATGGTCCAATAAGATACCACAATCAATAATACGGAAGGCTAAGAGACCTAACAGGTTAGGTACCGTATATTCCGGCGTATAAGACGACTTTTGAGAACGATGAAACAGCCTCCGAACTCGGGGGTCGTCTTATACGCCGAATCATAACATTTATTTATTTATTTATTATTTCCGTCGTATAAGATGACGTTCTAGGCATGCGACTCGGTGTCAATCATCTTATACGCCGATGTCGATCATCTTATAAGATGATCGACACCGAGTCGCATGCCTAGAAAGTCATCTTATACGCCGGAAATAACGTTATAAACTACGTTTATTTCCGGCGTATAAGATGACTTTCTAGGCATGCGACTCGGTGTCGATCATCTTATACGCCGGAAATGACGTTATTTCCGGCGTATAAGATGATCGACACCGAGTCGCATGCCTAGAAAGTCATCTTATACGCCGGAAATGACGTCATTTCCGGCGTATAAGATGATCGACGCCGAGTCGCATGCCTAGAAAGTCGTCTTATATGCAACTCGGTGTCGATCATCTTGCGACCCGGCGTCGAACTCGGGGGTCGTCTTATACGCCGGGTCGCCTAATACGCCGGAATATACGGTAGGTGCACTACTCAACCCAGATCCTGACATAAGTCATCCAAAAGAGCATTCAAAGCCATCTCTTTCCTATACCAGGGCCTTATCCCTGATTGAAAAGGGTCTAAATAATCCACTTCAGATGTTTTGAAGTTGGTCTACTATCAGTATCTCAACCTTCACCCAAAATGAAAATTGAATATCAAATAATTGGATCCGTGATGGCTATTTCAGAAGGGAGCACACCATAGCTTCCTTCAAGACTGATAACCTGCCCTCTGCAAAGAAGCACTAACAATCAGACTCAAGAGGTTACCTCTCTACCTGCCCCCTTTAATTGCCAGGATACTAAACACAGGACCACCCAGGCAACACCCGCTCCACCCCAATTCAGGGGTCAAAGGGAGTCCTACATAACAGGTCCGGGCCCTAATTACCACCAAAGACTATTGCCCAGGTGAAGTCAAATTGGCAAATTGAACCACTTTATCAGCAAAACCTGTTGCTGTGATCAAATGGGAAACTTCTATACTGATCTCTCCCAATAGAGACTTGGTCATCAGGGATGCTGATGAAAGCTCACTGACAAAGTTAGGGAGAAATTGGTATGATTAGCTTGACTTATTGCCATGATACACTCTTTTGCACATGCTTACATTCCCACAGAAATGATGTAAATGCAAAAGGCATTAGCACGTGTGATTGGTTGGCCCACTGAGGTGTAGAGTATGTTGTACATACTCTTGTTCTCCAATGTTGAGATTCGGGATGCCTTTACCCATGCAGTGAATATCTGTCTTTGAAAACACACTGAATGTTCCAGAGTCAACAGATAAAGAGCATGCACGGAATATTAATAAGTATGTATAAATTCAACAAACCATTAGCTTATTTTTCCAACAATCATTTTAGCTTGTTTTGGTTTGGCTGATGTACTCTGATGTATATTGCTACAAAGACATAATTGAATTTGATGGTTTGATCTGTTTGCTATTCTGTCCATTTACCATTTCAAATATAAAATGAGCTATTTGGGTAAGCAAGAGAATATGCAGGACTTACAATTACTCTTTCATTCTGTGGCTATGAATGCTGAGAATATATTTAGGAAGTAAATGATGGCTGTCAGGCAGGGAAGAATTTTCTATGCTTTCCAGAACAGGACTCCTTTCTTCAAGATGTTCCTGCTCACCGCTAATTGTATTACTAATAAATGGCAGGTTTCATATATAACAAAAAGTGAAAGACAAAGTCATCTAGCAAGAAAATATACTTTAAAAGGGGCAGAGAAAATGGAATAGTAATAGAATTTATCTATTACAAATGGCCTTTTTTTATGGAGTAAGCTCTGGAAAGTATACAATTTTCCCCATCTGCAAAGGGGATCTGCCATTTTTACAACTTCATATTTAGTAAACTGACAAACTGATGTATAGGAACAAACATATTCATTGCTTAAAAAATATTAAGCAGATTTTTTTGGTGAAGAGATGAAATAGCACATGGCTCATTATGCATTCTGTAATATAAATTCCAATACCAAGGGTCATAATATACATGACAATCCATTATTTTTATTCTTAAAATGTTATAGGTCTCCCAAATAGGCAGCACAATAGTGCAGCTAGCATTCAAATTCATGTAAAAATTCAGTACTAATATAAAAGAAAATATCAAAAACATTCTTTTCTATGTGAACGTATCAGTGAGGATATCTTCCATATTTAAAGGAGTGATGTGGACAATTGCAGAGATTTTCCACAGCAACTTGCATATCTAAAAACTGCTGCATCGTATAACTTATTTTTGACACCAAGCACTAGCATAAATACTCTGATGTTGAAGATAGTGACAGTATACCAAGAAATGTGCATATCTCTCATAACAGCATACAGAATCTAGACACGTGTATTACATATCATTTTGGCAACCTCAACTCATTTTAAAGAAGTCAGCTTTTCAAAATGGTCAGAAATGATTTTCATAGTTTTAATTAAAGTTCTCCATAGTCACTACTTCTTCACCTATTTTTATGGACCTAAATGAAATAAAGGTCTCTTATTTACACTTAAAAGAGATCTTGTAATCTAGTAGCTCCCCTGTTCTCAAACTGCAAAGGGAAGTTCCATCATGAATAGATTAAAAAGCTTTTCAACAGGGTGAATAAAATTCAGTTTAGTTTAATATTTTTCTCCCGAGATTATCCATTTTCCAAAGTGCTTTAAATTGGAAAGTACATGATCTAGAAATCTTTCAGAATGAAAACTTAAATAACTTGTTCCAAAGACCATGCTTTTGCTTACAAATAGAGTTTTCTTTTAGGACCACAGCAAAGTTTACCAATATAAATCTCCCAGAAATCACCAGGTGTTAAACAATCCACTGGAGAATTGTAGCCATGCTTGCTCAACAGCTAACCCCTTATGTCTGAAATATTAATATTTAAATCTCTCTTGGAGATTTTTATTGTGGCATATCAAATAAATTTGCCAAACCCTATGGCATGTATAACTCAAAATATATGCCACGCACTTTCAAAATGATTTTTTATTAAATTGGTTTCAGATATATGGCAGTTTGAGACAATTGCAGAGATTTTTTCAAAATATGAAATAAAAACAAAAATACTTTTCCTGATATCCATCTAGTCTGGAAAACCAAAGGAAGGAATAGTCAGCTCAATATTTCATGTTAATAATGAGCTCTACTTTTCCTAACATCCATTTAGCCTGAGAAATTAAAGCTCAGTGTTTCATGTTCATAGGAAAATGTTGATCCATGCATATTACTGGAGAAGATCCTAATAGTAAAAAAAGAATTACAACTCTTCCTGCAGCTGTATTGATGTATTCATCTACGTGACAGAGATTACCTAAGAAATTTTGACTACAATTGACAGGGGGATGAAAGTCCATTATCCAAATAAGCCACTAAAAAGTCCAGTAAACAAAAAGGGGGGGGGACTCTCTTATGCTAAGGACAGTAATTTTCATATTTTACTGAAGATACAACTGATCTTCAGTAAAAAGGCAGGAATAAAACTGTCCAAAAGCCAGAGGCAGTTGTGTTACATTAATTTATATGTAATTCTTGTCATCTTAAATATCCCAATTGAAAAAGTCTGTCCATGAGTTATTAAAGATTAGATGCTTTTGGACGGAAGAAAACAATAGAAGAGGAAGGCCTTTTCCTTCTACTATTACTATGATCACCAGATTCCATAGCTAAATCTTTATACCAGTTTCTTCTTCAAAGATAATCCTTTGCTTTATGGCTTTTCTGCATGCACTTTGCTGGAATCAAGTCTGCTGTACATCATTCTTTAGGAGCTCACCAAAACATAAATCATACTGTTGGAAAGAGAAGAATAAAAATAAAATATATTTCTGTTAAATGTTTGTTCTGTTTCATTGGAGATGGAAAACTAGTAATTAACCTTTAAGCTTCACCATTTGGCTCACTAGGCTTACGGCCAGATATTTCTACTGGTATACCCCTGCTACCACAGAATTAAAAACTTCTGCCAAGAAAAGGTGACATGTTTTTCCGCTCACAAGCTGATACATTGCAAATAATATTGACAGTTCCCAATTTATGCTTGTGGGCCACATTTAAGCTCCAGTGATTCACCAAAGTTAATTACTAGTTCCCACCATATCATAAATGGTTTATTTGCAGGATTTATTCTTAATAATATAGAAATCAACCAAGTAAGTGTCTTTTATATTAAAGAGGGTGCACATCTCCAAAATACATTAACACAATTATTCATCATTTAATTCTCTTGATAACAGCTCTTGATGTTATTCTGATATCAAATCCCAACCTATTATAAAACATTTTAATTGTCTTAATATTTTAAATTACTCTGCAATTTTATTTTCATTTCTGAAAGTGAAAGCAGGTTTTGTCTAAAGTAAAGCATCTTCCTCAATAAAGCAATTTAATAAGCATCTTCTAAACAAATATTTTGTTCTCTAAAAGTCAGTGGTAAGGCTCTTGTTCCAGGATCGGGAATTCCAAAAGAATCAGGAATTCTATATCCCCGTTACTGCTGAATCAACAATGTGACACACAGTGAGTCGATGATGGTGTTATATTTTAAGGTACTGGACTAGAACCAGCTACTCAGATCCATTTTCAATCTATGTTACAGGATTTCTGCTGTGGGGGAAACAACTAGGTGTCTCACCTTAAGCTGCTGAATTAAGAGCAAGAGTATAAATAAATATGCTGCTGGGCATTCATTAAGGTCCCTTCCCATTTTCATTGTGTCTGTGCTTATTTAGGGAAGCCACCATGCAACAAAACAAAGCTAGTCTCAAACTTAGTATGTATTTACAACAAGATCTCTGTTACTCATGGAACACAGAGCTTTCTTGGAAAATAATGTAGGTGACTGCAACTGATTATATAATGTATATTATGGTATGCAAGTGATTCTTGTCTAGCCTCACCATGGGAACCATTTTATACACTGTCATAACATAGTCTTATAACATTAAATATGCCCAGGGATCAAAAAGATTAGGATTCCCCTGCTTCAAGGAAATGAATATTAAGCACCTGAGCATTTATAGCATTTTTTAAAGTCACTGCTGAAATTCAGTAAAAGCATCTTTATATTTTTATCTAGTTTTCTTAAACTACATGTTCAACTACTTATCAGAAAGATATTATTTTATTAAAAACAGATGACTTACCCATATAGGTAGTAAAAAAAGGATAGAAGATAAAATGCTAGTTTGCACCACCCTTCCTTCTGACAATATGCTAAAATATCCGCATTCATAATGGTTGTGGGATCATAGAGTCCTGGTCCACTCATTACAGGCCTACTCATATACCTGAAAAGGTGAATTGGTATTTTGAAAAGCCACAGGAAAAATGAGTTTACTTGTCAAGAAACTACACCTATTATCACACTTATAGTGCTTTCCATCCTGTCATTTATTCCACATACTCCAAATTTCTTGATTCAGCACTAATGAAAAAAAAAAAGGTTCCTTCAAATCATTGTTGACTCTTGGTGACAACCTGGACAAGTTCCTGCAATTTTCTTGGCAAGATTTCAGAAATGGTTTGCCATTGCCTGCTTTCTGAGCTGAACTGGCCCAAGGTCACCTATCTGGTTTCATGCATAAGGTGGGACTAGAACTCATAGTTTCCCAGTTTATACCCTGGTGCCTAAACCACCACACCAAACTGGCTTTCAGTGAAATATACACAGTTAAAATGGAAACTCTCTGTTCAGTTTATCTCTGCCAACATTCAGTTTCTGACATCAAACTGTATTGGGCAAAGGGCCAACCTCAAACAATAAGGCAAGTTTCATGAAACACATGACATCTGGAATCTAAGTGAAGCATCTTTTATGATCATCCTATGGTCTCTGCAGTTAAGAATGTGAAATTGGTGATTTCTAGTAGTAGAGATAGTATCTTATAATATATGGCAGAAGGTAATATCTTTCTGCTGACCTGAGTCCTCTTTTTTATATTGCTGAATGGAAGCGTAAACATTACGTTTTGTATCAGTTTCTTTGGGAGTAAAAGCACAAAGCAGCTCTATTAAGTATGAGTAATGATAACAAGATCGCTACTGATCTCTGATGATGATATAGCAGAAGAATGCAGTACACTGTTATCTTTCTCTTGTTTCCCTTGGGATCTTCCAAAAGTAAGGAATGGGGGGGAGAATTTAAGGGACAGGAAAATCCCTGCAGAACATTTCATACAGAATGCAATACATGAAAAAACAAAAATGAAAGCTATAAGTAAAGTTTTACCAAACTATGTTCAAAATTACCTCCAAATGTGGTAAGCCAGTAATGGCATATTAAGACTCAGTGTAAGCCATTCTGTTGCACACAAAAACATGACACAGAAGAATGCATGGATGAGATACTCTGGAAGTACAAGCTGCAAAAGAAGACAGGTAGTTAGATCACCCTCTTTTTCAACTTTTGTACACTTGAAATAAGGACATCATTATTTATAGGAACAAGAAGGGAGTGAAGTAAAAAAAGACCATTAGATAAAATAAGCCAGAGGAGAAAATGTCAATCTATTGTGTTATAATAACTGACTTATGTTAGAGGAACTGAATAAAATTTGTTAATAATCTCTTACAGAATTTGTGGTATATTAAAATAATAGCACTATCACATATCTTCCAATTTCCAAGTTTTATCCTGGAGATGCTAGATTTACATAATTTCTAACAGGCTCCATATTACATTACAGATGGCATTTAGATATCTTTGAAAGCTGCTTATGTATCTCTAATTAATTGCAAGTAGCACCTCAGCTGCCTAGAAGAAAAAGTTTCCATAATGTTACTGTGCTATCTCACCATTAAAATATGTGCAAGTCTGAATTACACACTTTTTAATGAAAGATCATTACCCTCTTAGAATATGTAGCTATATCTGACATTTTAAAACAGTATAAATTTCATTATTGAGAACAGGGTGGCTAGTTTTTAGTCTGGCCTGTCAGAAAATGCTGAAAGCAATCCTCATCTTTTTATGGGAGAAATAAAGACAAGATGGTAGAGGGAGGAACACAAAAAGAGAAAAAGTGGGACAAACAGACCTCATATAATTGGGAGAAGGCAGATAAAGAGAGCAGTTTGGTCTAGTGCAGTGTTTCTCAACCTTGACAATTTTAAGGCATGTGGACTTCAACTCCCAGAATTCCACAGCCAGTATGGCTGGCTGTGGAATTCTGGGAGTTGAAGTCCACATGCCTTAAAATTGTCAAGGTTGAGAAACACTGGTCTAGTGGTTAAGACACCAGGCTAGAAAGTGGGAGACTGTGAATTCTAGTCCTACCTTAGCCACAAAACCCAGCTGTGTGACCTTGGGCTAGTCATCTTATCTCAGCCCAACTCACTTCATTGGGTTGTTGTGGGGAAAACAGGAAGAGGAAAGTGTGTTGGGTATGTTCACCACCTTGAGTTATTTGTAAACATAATAAAGGTGGTATATAAATGCTCTCACTTCGCTATCACCATGCTATCATATTATATAAAATCATAAGACCATACCTAGAATACTGCAACCAATTTTGGTCTCCACACTATAAAAAAGATGTTGAAACACCAGAAAAAGTGCAGAGGAGAGCAACAAAGATGATTAGGAGACTGGAGGCTAAAACATATGAAGAATGGTTGCAGGAACTAGGCATGGCTAGTCTAATGAGGAGAAGGGCCAGGGAAGAAGACATGATAGCAGTATTCCAATATTTGAGGGGCTGCCACAGAGAGGAGGGTGTCAACCTATTTTCCAAAGCACCTGAAGGCCAGACAAGGAATAACAGATGGAAACTGATCAAGGAGAGAGTCAACCTGGAAATAAGGAAAAATTTCCTGACAATCAACAAATGGAACAGACTGCCTTCAGATGTTGTTGGTGCTTCAGGACTGGAAGCTCTGAAGGAGAGACTGGACTGCACCTGTCAGAAATGGTGTAGGGACTCCTGCTTGGGCAAGGGGTTGGACTAGATGACCCACAAGGTCCTTCCAACTCTGAAATTCTAAATTCTATATAAACAATAAAAAGATAAAACAATATAAAGAAAGGAAAGGGGAAGAGAAGAGAGAAAAAGGTTTTCAGGGAAAGTTTCTATTCAAACCTCTGTAGGAAACGAAATACTCCATTCATTTGAATGGGAAGAACAAATTCTATGCTGCTTGTCTCTATTTTTAGCTTTCACTCACTATTCAAGTAGTGCTCTGTCTGTTGCATACAGAAGTTATAGAGCACTGTGCACCTTAATATATGTACATACACAAAGGCAATGGAAAATTTATGCCCAAAACTTGCACAAATCACTATATATGGATAAAATCAGCAGCAATTCAGTGTGAAGACAGGAGCCAATACGGTAGGGGAAAAAATTGTACCTATATTCAATTTTTTCTGGATTTTATGTTCTGAAGAAACTTATTTCCAGTTTGTATTTTTTGATATATTCATTTTTTAATCAGTATTTTTTTCAATAAACATAATATAGCGAATTCTGATTCTACAAGGTCCTGTTATAGGCAGCTATACTGAACAAAACTGCAGATATTCATTTTAACAAAAGCCACTGATGATCTGATGCGCCTTATTTTATCTGAATTTGCAGAAGCAAATGAATCTAGTGTAAAAGAAACACAGAATTTAATCAGTGTACACTCAATACATTCAAGTTGTACTTCTGCTGAACTAGGTTACACTATGCAATGCCTATAGAGACCAAACCTCCCATGGAACCACAAGTCCCCACCTCCTCTAATACTGTATTTTTTGGAATCCCTTATTTTAAAAAAAATCAAACAGGACATTGGCGTACTATAAAGGAAAGCACCAGCGCTCTAATACCTTGATTTTCAAGGTTACAGAGAGCCTACTCTGCTAAGACATTCTTAGAAAACAGAAACAGCCAGGCCTGTGCTTTGTGTGAAAAAACGTTTCCAACTGCCCAGAAACAAAAAAAAAAAGGAAAGCAGAAGAACAGAGAACATCTGGGTGGAGAGTGAGTGGCATGGAATAACCTCATTAGTCTGCCTTCTGATAAGGGATGTTCTGTGATTAGCCATTCCATAATAGGTAAACCAGGTCTATGCCAGATGTATACGAGACCTCCAGGGCATGTAAGAGTAAGTAAAATAAAAATCAGAAAGTCATTTATTTAAACAATAAATAAATTTAGCAATTCCGTCATAAGGTATCAAAAACTACATTGTAGCCCTAAGATTCCTGCTAACTTGCTGGAAATTACTTATTTTTATTATTACTTTTCCCTGCATATATTCTTAAGATGCTACATTCCCACACAGATTCATTTATGGCACAGTTAAACAATATTTCAAAATCTCTCAGCAAATTTCTCTCTGTATTAAACAAAAAAGCCCAGAGAAGCATAACATGCATAATATAATATCTTTTTCTTAAAAGTCTGATAAGGGGATGCATAGATGTATTTAAAGTCTGTCTCACTCACACAACAAATGAGAGATGAACTGAGTAGGGTAAACTGTTCCATGCACAGCTTCTATCTATGTTACTTCTTCCTTCATTAGAAGACATATTTTAGCAGTCATAACTCGCAATATTTTTTCTCATTTACCAGATTGCATTTAGCACTAATGCCAGTTCCTGTCAATTTCAGCAGAACTTCTGGGATATCTGATATAATTTCTAGAGAAATGTTATCTAGTCAATCCACCTCAAAAATATATGAAAAAAAATAGTCTTTTCCAAGCCTTTCAAGTATACTGTAATTTGTTACAGTTTGTCAACAAGCAAAAGAGAAATATTTTAAAGTAAACGTGGGAATAAGACATATGAAGCTGGAAAATGCTGGTCTGGACTAAAATGCTCTAAGGACTAAAGAATTACTGGCATAAATGTGAACAGAGAATGATAACTATTTTCTAAACAGGTAAATGCAGGAGATTAGAGTAACTTCTTACCAATCATACAGACAGTGCAGAATTTAGCTCTGCCTTTTAAAAAGCCCAGGGACTGCAGAGTATTCAACACTACAATAAAATCTTCCTCAAGTCAATTTTGATTCCTGGTGACTTCATAAATGTGAGCATGCGATTGTCTTGGCAACAATACAGAAATGGTTGCCACTCACTTTTGGAATGCTCTGCCAACTTCCCAGGTTCAGACTATAGTCCTGGTTCTCTCAGAGATCAATCCAAATCTATCTTAACTTCCAGGTCCACACAAGGTCAGCCAACATTTTGGAAATGGGCACATAACTCACTAACTACAGTTGTACTTGTCACAACATGGAAAAACAGAACTAGTGGTATTAAACATACCCATGGCAGAAGCTGCAAAAAAGCATCCCTAAGATCAAGGTTGGCAATAAGGAAAAGGTACTATTTTTATTATTACACTACAGACGCTATTCCCGAGCTATCCCCATGCAAATAATCCACTGTAAATCAAGAAGCCAGAATAATCCTTCTCCCTAATTCTAAGATGAATTCCCTTAAATGTGTATCAGCTCTAATCAGGATTCTAACTTAACCATCATTCATGATTTGAATTAAATTGGCAAATTCTGATTAAGGAAAAAAATATGGCATTTCTTCCATTTAAATAAACATGAAGTTATTGAATTGTTGATGTCACGTCCTGTCAGTAACTGATTTCTTGTAGAAGAATTTAAGCATGTAACAGTTTTCCCCAACTCTTATTAAGCAAGTGCAAAATTCAAAGAATTATTTCAATCCTTGAACAGACAAAAGACAAGCAAATGAACAGGCACATGGACCAAAACAAGAATTAACATAGGTTATAGACATGATCCTAATAAATGGAAAGCAAAGAGACTGTGGTATTAAGACATTAAACTAAAAAGCAGTACACACCTTGAATGCAATTTTGACTCTTTTAATCTTTTTAACCTTTTCAACTGTCTTTGTGCCGAAAACGTAAAAAGCAGATTGAAAGAATGTTAGTGTGACCACTGACAAGTTCACCAGCAGATAAATAAGTCAGAATTTCAAGAATGGGGAGTGAGGGTAAGTGTGAAAGAGCATAGGGACACAATTCTACCTAGAAATCTTAAATCTACTAGATACTGTAGTATCAAATAAAATGCATGTTAAATGGTATGTATGTTAAATCATCATACATTTACCAAAAAACCAAAACTAACTAGGAATTCATGAAGAAAGTTGTCTCATATAAACTTACAGGATTTAGTGTATTACACTGGTCTATGGGATTCTTGTAGTCAGTCTTCAGCTCATCAAAAGCTATAATCTAAAATAAAATTAAAATGGTTAAGTACAGTATAAAAACTCTTATTGTTCTAAAGTCCAGCATTTAGAACAGCCCAACTTCTAAATGCAAATTCTGAGGGAATCTCCTATGGAACTGACTCATCCAGTTAATTCCAAGTAATAATAAATAACTAAGCTCTTCAAAGCACATTTTCAAGAATTCACTCAAACCCCCTACACAGTAGCAGTACCCGCCTCCCACTTAGCCTTGAATATTCAAACTGTATGAATTGGAATTGGATTCTGATTGAGCAAGTCACAGTGATCTGATTGAGGCTTTATCTCGTCTTATTATCTGTGTGGTGTTTCACCCTGAAGTAGACAGAATCTTGAGTTCTAGTAACCCAAAAACCTGATTATCAAATCCGTGCACCTCCAGAATGATTAAAAAAATTTGGGAGATGGTGAGTGTTGTTATCTTCCCTGAAAAAGGTGGCAATACACCATCTCTTATAAAAACCATTGTTGGACATAATGGTTCTGAACACCTTTTATCTAACCTCCAACCTTCTCTTTCTCAGGGACGTTGTTGAGAAAGTGGTCAGGTTGCAGTTTCAGAGACCCCCAGATAAAATGGATTATCTGGATTCTTTCTAGTGTGGTTTCAAGCTGAGACAGCACTGACTGAGCTTGTGGAGGCAGGACAGATACTGTGTGAACTTGCAACTTGAATCTCTCAATGACTTAATATAATCAATCATCGTATCCATATGGGGTGGCTAGGGGTATTAGGAAACAATGTTATAGTGCAGTGGTTCTCAACCTTTTTAATGCCACAACCCCCCCCAACCGGTCGTAAGTCGAGGACTACTCAACCAGTCGTAAGTCGAGGACTACTCAACTGGTGCAGCACCGTTTGCAGCATGGGACTTTTGACGGGCTCAGCAGGGCAGAGACAGCCTGGACAATTCCTATTGGCTTTTGAAAGCCAATAGAATTAGACTCTATTCACGAGAGTCTATTCTATTGGCTTTCAAAAGCCAATAGAATAAAAGGTAGTAGCACAGCTAAGGAAAAGGGGGAAAAATGGCAGACTACGTTGTTTGGTGACCTCCGTGAAATGGTCGTTTGACCCCAAATGGGGTCCCGACCCACAGGTTGAGAACCACTTTATAGTGGTTCTCTTTTCTCTCTGGATGGTTCCACTTGATGCTGGTAGGTGATCCTTTGATCCCTTATCTGTGGAGATTTCAGAGCTCAATTCCCCCCCTTTTCCTGTATGATATCTCCATGAAACTATGCCAATATAGAATTTAATACCATCAATACACTGAAGATACTTGGTTGTATATATTGATCCAAGCCAACCAAGCAATATCATCAAAATGATGTCCCAGTGCCTTGATGCTGTGAAGATCTGGATGAGGAACAGGTTTAAGGTCAACTATGGCAAAATGGAATGGCAATGGGTTTTTAGGTCTTGCAGTATCAGGGATTTCCATCTTTAGTTCTGGATAGGGTTACACCTCTCCAGATAGAACTGGTGCACAATTTGGGAATCCTCCTGGATCCTCAGCTCCTGTCAAGGAGGTGGCAGGTATAACTAGGAAGGCCTTCACCCATTTGTCCACTGCACCAATTGCATCCTTACCTTGATCAAGATTTCCTTTTCACAGTCACTTCTAACTTAATCATCTCACATTTGATTACTGCAATATACTCTACATGGGACTGCCCTTCACCACTCAGAAGCTGCAACTGGTCTAGAATGCAACTGCATTGACAAGCATGGACACAACATGGCACACCCATGGGACACCTCTCCTACATGAGCTGTGCTCATTACTGATACCCTTCTATGTGCAATTCAAACTGCTGTCCACCTTGTATGCTTCTGCAGAGAGGGTATGCTCCAGGTCACATCAGTGAAAAAAAAAAATCATTTAATGGGTCCCAGAAATGTGCCTACCCTGGTGTCAAACCTATCCTCTTGCATATCTATCCAGAGGTTAGGTTGCCCCAACCAGGAGTTTTAAAGATTGTGTCTTTCTCCAGGGCCTGGATAAGATATGCTTCTCTCTGACCTTATTATCAAGACTTGTTGTTTTTGGTTTGGGGATTTTTTTTTACTTTTATCAGTTGATGCCATCTTACTGGGAATTTTTATTGGTTATTTTTATTGTATGCTATTTAGACTATAAAATAAGTTTGGTTTTACTTATTTATGTAATTTCAGGATAAAGGAAAAAAGAATACACTGTAGATTCTTCAATCAGATAATCCAATTAAAATGTTCATGCTATCTATTTTATAGCATTTGTCAATGCTGGGGCCAATTTGTCTTCACAGTCTTTCAGACTGTCAGCTGCAGTCTTCTCCAGGGCACATCTTGGTGTCAGACAGGATTCTCCAAGGGAAGGATGTTTATCTTAGCACATACATAAAGGGGATTCCCCCTGGCCTCTACCCCTCTCCAGAGAAAAAGTGTTTGTTTTTAAAAATCTAATAGAGAAGCAACATATGGAGGCTAAGAAGAGGAGCTAAGAAACACTGCTCCGGAGACTCTGATTAAAATCTGTAATCTATTAAAATCTGAAAAATCCAAGGAAGCAACCAGGAAATGTTTGCTGCATCGATCAATTAATCTCTAAAAGTTAGGTAACAGGTGTGAGCTAGAAATATTGTATCAGATTAGTATTATTTTGGAATGTGTTTTAAACTTTATAGTCTTTGATAGGGCATAGTTTCCCTGGGCAATCTCAGTGACTGTGTATCCTAGTTAACAGACCAATACATTTCATAGTCTGCCTGTATATTTTTTCCTATTGGAGACTCTCTTGAGATGCTCCCTATGATTTTCACAACTCTCTATTTTTATCTCCACTGATTGTTTTGTGCATTTTATTTAAAATCAGAAAGGAATTTTTATTTTTTAAATGTTAACTTTATTTAAGCCACTTAAAATCACCTTTAGTGAGGTAGATGGCATACAAGTTTGATAAATAAATGAAATAAATAATAAATTTTGTTTATACCTTGTGAGGGCTAATTTTCCTAACCATGTGTCTCCTGTTATAGGCTCATAAGATGATACTATCTTACTTGCCTCTTACTTGCCATTAAAACACACAGGTTGTCAGATCTCTCTCTCATACATTAAGGTTGTGGAGAGATCAGTAGATAAAGACATCTCCTGAAAAATGTGATGTTATAGCAGTAATTACATAGTAGCTAGCCCCAGGCAAGAAGGTGGGGCCTTCTCAGGCGCTTGTCTCAGAGCACTTGTAGGAGAAAGACCTTTCACCTATACCATGGCTGGCTCAGGAATTCTGGGAGTTGAAGTCCACGAGTCATAAAAGAGCCAAGGTTGCCTACCCCTGACCTATACACTCAGTTAGAAAGCCTTAATATATGTTCACACAAAAGCACCCAGATACATTCTATCTTGAGACTATTAAGATAGCATGTTAGAATTCTGTACAGCATAATGTACCCACTCACTCCCCTCATAAATAAGTCTGCCCTATCTAATCTAATCTCGTATCTTTCAAGATTCTCCACTCCTACAATTCTAGTCCCTTTTATTTCACAATAAGCTTTAACAGTCTCTGGCCAAAAGCCATGACTTCTCTTACCCCACAAGTCATCGTTCTTTTCATATTTTCCTCTTTATTCTATACATCAGTCCAATTCCAGTTCTTTAAACAAATCCTCAAAAAAGGATGTACCAAGCTAAAACCCAACCTGAGTTCAATTTCTTGCTTCCTATAAATACCACTGTGAATTAACAGTTCTCCTGTTGTGATCCCTGGCAATTGGCATCAGAATATAACGGCTTGGTTATTGGTGGCAATATATAGAAAGCATGCCAGAAGCCACCAGGAGTGTGCAGAATACAGTAGCAGTGAGCTACTTCAGTGGGATAGTTCAACCTTGTCATCATTCCACTTTGACAAAACATTGAGATGGGATTGAGCCAACTCAACTGATCATTTCATTTTACAAAAGCGGTTGGCATACACACATGGGAATCCCTTTGGCTGATCAAACAGAATTGAGGTAGCTGCCTATCTGATACTGTGGTTTGTAGGGATGATTGTGGCTCCTCACAACAAAGCATCTTTTAAAAGCTGTGCACAGCACTCACGTGCTTGATAGCTTGATCCTTCTGAATATCTCTTGAAGACATCCAAACAGGACTGATTACTACACAGGTAGTCCTCAACTTACAACAGTTCATTTAATGAGCATTCAAAGTTACAACAGCACTGAAAAAAGTGATTTATGACTGTTTTTCACAATTATAATCTTTGCAGCATCCCCATGATCATGTGATCAAAATTCAGATGCTTGCCAAGAGGTGCATACTTATGATTGTTGCAGCATCCCAGGGTCATGTGATCACTTTTTGCAACCTTCTGACAAGCAAAGTCAATGGGGAAGCCAGATTCACTTAACAACTGCAGTGATTTACTTAACAACTGTAATAAGGTCATAAAATGGGGCAAATTCACTTAATAAATGTCTCACTTAGGAACAGAAATTTTGGGCTCAATTGTGGTCATAAGTTGAGCACTACCTGTATCCTGTATTATGAAATTCCACAAATTAATTACGGGCTCATGAAGTAATTTATTTTTTAGTTTTAACGGTCTGATTTTTAATATTTTCTATATATGGCATCTTTTTAAAGTTTAACCACTTCAAATATCTCACAAACAAAAAACATGAACAATAAGGCCAATCTTTAAATACTCTTTTAACTTCCCTGAGGTGTTAAAAACACCAAAAAAAGAAATAATTTTTCCCTTATTCACTTTCACCAAGCTCTATACAATCTTATAACAAGCTTCCTTCCTTTCTCCTTTTGTAACTTGAGCTTCGGGACGCACCAATATCTTTCTGCGCTTTTTCCAGTTTCACAAAAGGATGCAGAGATGACACTACTGTACACGCAATACTTAAACGAAGTCACGCCTTATAATTGCAGAAAACAATGAGGGCGCCCTTTTCATGCCCGCTGCGCCCAGTGGCCCTTGTTCACACGTTCCCCAAACCTTCCTGGCCTCTCCTGCCTGCTCCGGTATAGCCAGGAGAGATGCACAGTACAAATTTGGGGGCTCGCAGTGCCTTGCTTGACTCTTCTCTGTCGTGGCGCCACAACTGCCAGTTTTTAATGCCCGCCCCTCCAGCATTTGCGGCCACTTCGGTGTTCAACCCTCCAGAAGAATTTAGCGACCCAAGTAAGCGGGAACTTCCTTCGCTTCCCGTCAACCTCCGGCAGCCCCGCCTTGTCCACCGCCTTCAACCCCTTCTTAATCTCTTTCCCTTTAGGTCCACCGCCCCCGATTTCCAGGGAATACCAGGACGCTCTCCTGCACTCACATGCCATATAGCGAAGAAGATAAGCGCAGCAGTGAGGAGCAGCGCCAACATATAGCAGAAAGCAGCGAACGTGAACGCCATGGCGGCGGCGGTAGCGATTGACACTAAGGAAGGCCGGCCCGACGGCGAGGCGCGCGGAAGTTTCTGGGCCGGATCATTCAGGGCGGCCGCACAGGCACCGGAGGGGGGAACGACAGACGCTTTCGACGTCACTGCGCAAGCGCACAGAGAAGGGAAGCCGCCCGCCGCTGCCTTTACAGACCTGAGTTGCGCGCCGCAGCATCTACTTCTGGACGGTTGTGGAACTGCAACGTGGATCCCTCCCGATGGCGGGGTGTTTGCTATTCGCATCCCAGGGAAATGAATGTCATGCGTGACATCAATAATACGGAGATGGCGTCCCAGCGCTCTGTTTCCGGTTCTTTCGAGGAATAGCGACGTAGGAGGAGGATGCGTCGAAAGGAGAGCATTATTTGCCGGAGGTTCTCCCGGATGAACGTGGGAACTAAATGGACTTTTCCACCGAGGAGAGAGTCACGTCTGTACAGATGGGCGTGTACAAGCTGCAGATCCCACCGTTAGGAAGCAGGATAGAATAGAATAGCATAGCATAGCATAGCATGGCATAGCATAGCATAGAGTAACAGAGTTGGAAGGGACCTTTGAAGTCTTCTAGTCCAACTCTCTGCTTAGGCAGGGAACTCTATCCATTTCAGACAAATTGTTATCCAATCTTTTCTTTAAAACTTCCAGTGTTGGAGCATTCACAACTTCTGGAGGCAGGTTGTTCCACTGATTAATTGTTCTAACTGTCAGGAAATTTCTCCTTAGTTCTAGGCTGCTTTGGAGAATAGCTTGACTCCCTCTTCTTTGTGGCAACTCCTGAGATATTGGAACACTGCTATCATGTCTTCTTTTCATTAAACTGGACAAATCCAATTCCAGCAACTGTTCCTTATATGTTTTAACCTCCAGACCCAATTATTTTTGTTGTTCTTCTCTGCACTGCTTCTAGAATCTCAACATCTTTTTTACATCGTGGTGACCAAAACTGGATGCAGTATTCCAAGTGTGGTCTTACCAAGGCATTAACACTTCACATGATCTTGATTCTATCCCTCTGTTAATGCAGCCTAGCACTGTGTTGGCTTTTTTGGCTGCTGCAGCATATTGCTGGCTCATATTTAAGTGGTTATCTACTAGGACTCTGAGATCCCTCTCACAGTTACTACTATTGAGCGAAGTACCACCTATATTGTACCTGTGCATTTGGTTTTTCTTGCCTAAATATAGAACCTTAATTTTTTCACCATTGAATTTCATTTTGTTATATAGTGCTCAATGTTCGTTCAAGATTCTTCTATATCTTGAGCCTACCAGCTCAATTTGGAATCGTTTTTCCAACCCCAGGAAAAGGACTCGTCATGTATTTGCCCAGATTCCTCAATATGTTTTATTAGGAATGAGTTTATACCTCTCCTAGATGGATGATTACTAAAGATTGCTCTTTGGAGTTTGATTACATTATAAATCCAGCTGTATTTAAAAATATAAGATTAATTATATCATTGACATTTATGAGTACATGAAATAGGTGCATTACTTTCTTGAAAGCATGTACTTTTTTCCGGAATTCAGAATTTTTCTGGACAATTCATTTTATTTTTATTTTTCATTCCCCCAGTTTGATGTTTGGGTGTGGGGTGAACTCCCATAACCCCACATTTTGGGTAGAAAAGGTGAGATCCTTTTTCTGTGAATGATCTCCAATTTTTTTTTTAATTTGGCGTTTTCTTACCTAACCAGCATGTCATAATACTGCAAAGACTGGGGAAACCTTCACTTCATTTGGTGCCGATCTGTTTCACTTCCCCCCAACTCATCCCACTTTAAATCCTATATCATTTAGCTGTTCCACGCATCTGATGAAATGAGCTGCAGCTTATGAAAGCTCATGCTTGTGAATAGTTTTTATTAATTGGAAAGGTGATTTGGAGCTATCATAGACTAATAGGGCTCTTCTACAATTTTAACATTGGAGGACCTTGGAGTGGGTGTATGCCAGCAATTTTCCATCACACAAGGAACAGGAATTGAAGTAGGATTTGTCCATCAGGCACTTGCCACAAATGCAACTTTTTGAGAGTAAAGCGATTACCTTCTGGAAAGTTGATCTGTTGTTTTTTTTTGAATCAGTGGTACTTCCTCACTATCAATTATTTTGATTTGGTATAGCAAATCTGAAGCTCAGTGGGGAAAAAAAGATGGTTTGCATGCATGTAAAAGCATGTTTTTAATTACTTAAAATATTTTAGAGGTGATCTCCCAGATTTCCTATTTATGGTGTTGTTCACTCAAGTGTTCCAAGGAAGATCATAAAAGATCCATTTGGTTTCTTTGGACTTATCTGCTCTTTTTTAGTTTTGTTGATAACTACATCCAGTGACCAATAATTTCACGACGTGGATAATGTCTGCAAATAATAAGGTACTGGATTTCCACAAGATTTCTTAAGATGAAGCCCTCAAAGTTGTACAGAATATTTTACTCAGGTGAACAACACAACTCTGAAATACAAGCTTGTTTTATTTTCTAGATCTTTCACATTGTGGAAAAATATGCTGAGCTGAAGTTTTCACAAGGAATATGCCTCTGTATCTCACAAGATTTCTTTCCGGGTTAGTTACAGCGAATGTAGATCTCCAGTTACATCACTGTGTGGTGCTCAGATTTTCCTAAACCTGATATTCACATCCGTGAATTCCCAGCATATGTCAACCACCTGTAAGTCGAAACATTCAGTATCGCCCCTAGATCAGAATAACAGACGAGTCTGAATTGTCTCAGAACTTCTTTAAATGCCCGTTCTCAATGCCTGCAACTTGAATAACATTTTCTCCTGAGCATGTGCAAATGAGCCTGATATACAACCAGGACTACTGCAAGTGAAAAAGCAAATCTGGTCAGACAGATTAGTTCTGCATAGACTTGAACGTCTGTCTTTTTCTTTTACAATTACTTCCTTCAATGGTTTAGATGGGAGAAAATGTCAATTTGTATTCAATACAAGCAGAGGCTAACTTCCTTGTTTGTCAGAAGCTAACTGCATACCCAAACTGGGTCAGCATCCCATACTGTTATTTTATCTTAAACAGTCCAATCAATTTATTGTCAAATGGGAGATCCTGGATAGGAAGAGCTCTTGTTCAAAGGTTATACTGTATATTCTTTTTGCCAGGCTACCTTTCATCCCCCCCCCCCCAGCTTTAAGCTTATTCTATCACATTAAAAATAGAAGACAGAGAGTTTGACAGGTTTTATTAACATTGTATGATCATTGATACCAATACAAGCTCCATGCTTTGCCAAACAAAAAGAAAATGATGATTTTAAAAAAAACATGCAAAATCAACTAAGCAGAACATTAAAAATACCCCAATCATTGCAACACCTGTCAAGCTGGTTAGTTCCACAGAAATATCAGTGAACAATAAAAGCACATATTGCAGTTTCCTTTCTATAAAATACTGTTGCTCTTATCTCATACAGAATAACTTTTCAGCATTAGAAATGTTTAATTATATTACGTCAGTACAATATATTATTGTAAAGAGACCAATATTCTCATTAACAATTTGCAGATTTGGGAAAGGGAGTTGAGAAGGGAAGCAAGAGAGAGTGGTCCTGGGTTCAATCTGCAGCCTTTTTCAGACTGCCTAGAAAAGAATGGTATTCCAGCAATCAATGCACATCGAACTTCTCCAACTTGGCACCCTCCAGATGTGTCGGGAATAGAATTCCAAGAGTCTTGGCTAGTTTAGAAAAATGAACTATATCTGTTGGAAATTCAAGGACATAGAGTCTGGATATGTCGGAAGGATGCCAACTGGGGTAGGTTATTCTATCAGATATTAGCCATAGCAATAGCACTTAAGACTTACATACTTCCCACTTTACAGCACTCTTTAAGTGGTTACAACATCAGCATATTGTCCTCAACAATCTAACTTCAGAAGGATGGAAGGCTGAGTCAACCTTAAGCCTGTCAGGATCGAACTCTAGATTGTGGGCAGAGTTAGCAATATACTGAACCAGAACTAATGGCCTACCCCAGCTGGCATCTTCCAGATGTATCCAAACTATATGTCCTTGAATTTCCAACTAGTATATATTAGCTAAGATATCTGGAATTGTAGAATTCTATGCCAAGGGCCCAAAAGGAAGGTTGGAGTCTGAACTATGGATACTACAGCTCATACTTTTCAGGTACAACTAGAGGAGATAGCAAGCGAGCTATAATTGGCTTGGTTCACCTTTATCCTCTGTGTTTCAATGATCCTTTCTCAATAGCTTTGCAATTTTGTGCATTTACAATGTGCACACCAAATTACTGCTCCCAAATTAGGTATTAACTTCCCTAAAAGATGTTTCATATAGTATTGATCTGATTTCAACATATCAAATGATGCACAACTACCAGGAATTTAGCAATCTACCCAGTTTTATTAGTAGACTGATTCTCTTTTTTTTTTTTAAACCTTGCATGGTATGAAAGCCTTTTCATATGTTTCACACAAGAACATAAACCTTTCATCAGTGAGGAAAAAAAACCCATTCTTCCATATACATAACAAACTATGTCTATTCACTTAGAACAACTTTCCCTAATCTGGTACCACTCAACACATCTGGAAAGGGTCACAGCAGAGAAGAATGAATTAAATCCCACACACTTTCACGGAAGCTGACTAGTGTTGGTTAACAGAAAGCAGGAAAAATTCACAAATGCCAGTTTCACATTTCATCCAGTGAATACTGCGCTATCAATAAAGCATAAAGATATGTTTTAAGTTCAAACAAGCTTTTACAGGAAAAAGGGAATACATTCATACAATTGATTCACACGATTGCAACATGTGAATATTAGAAGCACGTGTATTATGCGATTCTTCCCTTTTGCTCAGATCCTCCTGTTGTTTATATGCTACAACAAACATATATCATGTATATGTAATATGTGAAAAGGCTTGGAGGGGGGGGGGAAAGAAATCAAAACCAAGTATTTGGCCTCGTTTTGAAATACTGACAATTCTAATCTATAAAAGATTCAAGAGAAGTACTACTAGAAAAAGACCAGAAATGGAACCGTTGTTAGAAGTTTATCATCCCACTGTATTATTACTTTTTAATAAATTGCTTATTAAAACATCAATATGAAGATTTGATTTAAACAAGTTAGTATTCAAAAAGTTGTTACAGCGATATATTTTGATGGAAATTCTTCAGATGTTGCTCCTTCAAGATCCAAATAGAGAGGAAGGGGAGGAGCAGGAAAAAAAAAACTCTCCTCTTAGCTGAAGTTGTCAATATTTCCAGACTTCAAACAGAATTCCATTTAGGAATAACTATAGTTCACATTATACTGCCCAAAAGACATCATAGAATGTATTATTGGGGCAGGGTAGGGACAAACAATTACTTAGAAAAGACAACAGCTTCCAAATTGTGGAGTTTAGTCTCACTCTCTTTAAACCTAAAATCAAGCCTGCAATTTCCTTCACTGTCTTTGACCAAACATAATTCCAAGGAGTGCTCAGCTACCTATGTATTTTCAGGCTTTTCAAACAACTACATGGATATTACAGTATTTTTAATTTTTAAATGCTTCTGACAGATCATTCATTTTCCAGTCTCTCTTCAGCCTCCATTTTATCCTACACCAGAGGGGCACAAATATGGCCCAGGAACACCATGTAGCACACCAACAATCCTTTTAGCAGCCCTTTCAGACTGAATAGCCTTCCCCCTTTTCTGCTTTCTGAAGTATTTAATTAGCAAAATGGATAATTTACAATTTATTTCATAAAACTCTTTGACACTTTCCCAAAAGTGAACCTAACCTCACTAACTGTGGAGCATGACTCACAAAAAGTTGGATACAGTTCTTGAGCTGAATGAGAGTCTCTACTCTGGTAAAAGGGAGGAAAAAACATTAAATTAAGAGCAACCAAGGATTATAACCTTAGATGAGAGATTGTATAGTCAGTCACTTAAGAAAAAAAATCCTAGAAAAAACACTTTTTAAAAAACAAAAAGCCTAACAAAAGAGTGGTAATGAAGGCAGATAAGCACAAAAGAATCTTCAGACATATTTGGTACATAAAGAAAGATTTCTATGTATATCCTCCTTCAGCCAAAGAACAAATCTGACCCCCAATATCCATGTAAAACAGCCTCTGTACTATTTGTACTCTTTTAATAGTTTAGGGATAATATAGTTCAATTCATTGTAATGCCATACAAAATGGAACAATTAGACCAGAGCCTAACTGTTCCCTTGCGAGATCATTTACAGAGGACTCCCCCAGATATGACTCATTGGAATTAATGCCAACTGCTATCAGATTTGGTATATAGAATCTGACATTTTACCCAACTAGGTGACCTAGGATATTTTGAGATTTTGGAATGTTGCAGTTATAATCCACAAAGGGTGCATCATGCTGAGGAAAACCCATGTAGAGTTTGATCAACTATCAGTTTAGGGAACAACATATATTTCTGCTCCTTTGTCAGTTAACACTTGGCTACCCCTGGCTTAGGAATCTCATTCCTAGATAATAGACAAGAAAGGCCTCACCTGTCTGTGTCTAAGCACTATATTGCCAATTTACTGGCCACATCATGTATGCCCTCCATTGAAGGGAGAATCAAGTTTTGCAGCTAAGTAATTCAAGTTGCTGATCAAAGAGGGTGGGATACTTTGATCTATATGTTATTATCAAGATCCCAGTCAAGGAGAAGCACAAGATGCTAAGCTGCTCTCCCCCATGCATTGCAACGGATATTCCTCTGGCTTCTGAGAAGGCATTGGCTACATATTTTTAAAGTACAAAAAGGAAATCAAGGTAGTTAAGGAAGTCAAATTCTACACACTATATATTACTTCTTTTGTGCCCTGCATTTATAAGGATCAAGGCACACACACAGCCCTGTCTATTGAGAGACAGAATGCAGAAATGCGGTGGACTCTGATTAACTTCAGAATATTTGTTGACTTTTAGTTTTCTTTTTTAGCCAGACTAAGCATTTTGCCTTAAATCATAGCAGTATAAACCGTGTGTGCACCTACAGCTGAAGTTAATGGAAAGAGAGATTAAGCTACCAGACGCTGCTAGGGAGATTTCTTTTAGACAAAGTTAACCTGTATCAAATTTAATATTTTTTTAAAAACTGGCAGTGTAAGACTTTCTTACAATCATTTGATAGAATTTTTTTTTTTAAAAAGGCACACAGATTGAGAAGTGCTTGCATAAAAAGTCCAGAAAAGTCAAGACTTTTATATTAATAGATCTACATATAAAGACTTTTGGAATGGAAGTCCACTACAGTATGTTACCAAGCCCTTACAGGTTGCTTTAAATCTACTTTCTATTTGATTAGTAAAAATGCTATCCTTACATACACAAAAATAGTGTTAAACCTTTGAACCAAAATGGAAATATAAGGTTCAAAGTAATTGGGGGCTTTATTTTTTTTAAGAGAAAAGAAAAGCCCCATCTGGAGAAGTTAGGAATCATACTAAAGTATCTATCCTAAAATAGGTTGGGCCCAAATCAAATTTTTTCATGCCCCTGGATTCAGTGTTATTTTCACATACTATTGTGTCCAGTTATTAATTATTAATGTCCAGTTTCTATTAAAAGAAGATGCACTTGTAGCTCAAGAGGGGGGAAAAATCTGCTGTAAATTTCCAGGCTACTTGACTGAGTACAGCCATAAACACAATCCATTGATACAAACAAGAGCTGATGCACAATGTGTCCCTTTGGAGATTCTGCCCCAAAGCTGTAAACAATTACCAGTTCTAATTAGTCCAGATAGAAATATTAGTCATGTAAGTGCAAAAAGAAAAAAATTATCCCTGCAGGAAGAAAACTGTTCCCTTTTAAACAATTAGAAGGAAAGGAACAATCCTGGGCAAAGTTTGGTTAAGCAGGAGATGCTTCTTCCCCTCATGTATATAAATTTTGCACAGACAAATATATACATATATATATGTACATACATACAAACATTGCAGGAAACAACTGTAAGTACAGTGCATTCTTGTTAGGTTTAGAAAGCAGGAGTCATGTTTGGTTCCAGTTTGAACTGCACGGAATGCTTAATCCTTCTTTTAGTGGAAGTAGCCAAGCTTCTCCTGAAGCCATTCCTCAGTGAGATCTTCTGTATTCCTGATTTCAAATACCTGCGGGGGGGGGGGGGAACAGAAACAAAAATAGTTTCAGCAAGTACACCAAGACATGGTTAGAAGGATAAACCACAGTTGACTATGTTGATGCAACCCACTAAGCCAAATCTAAACAAATTACAGTATGGTTTAGCATGCTGTATGTGCTAAGCCAAAAAGACAAGTCATCTAGTCCAAAAGGGAATAAGAAATAGCTATTACATAATATATTTTTAATTTAACTTTTTTAGAAATATACTACTACTGATGCAGATAAATATGTCCAGGAAAAAGCACACAATCATCTATCCTTGACCAAGAAACTGCTAAAGTTGGACTTCTTAAAAAATATATTGCCTTTGGTTTGGGGCCTTCAAAAGAGTGTACCAGCAGATCAAACTACAGTACTATCTTAGGACTTATTTCCCACAGAAACAGGACAGTCGAGACCAAGACAGAATCTTTTTAGCTGCAGGTAAATCTTACATGAGAGAAATCCATTGTTTCCTTGGACAGCTCCTCCTCAGCATTTTAGCTTTTTCTGTGAATGGATGTATTAATTATTACTGGGGAGAACACTGAGTCATGCAAAGATCATCTTTGGCTTAAAGTCTAGGATTTTCTGTGAAGCTCATCAGTTAGAAATAGAAAAAAGAGGAAGGTCAACTATATGGAAGTGCAATAAAAAGCGGCCCAGTTCTTTACTGCAACCTGGTGTTCCCTCAAAATACTTTGGACATGCATCAGCACCTTGCAGGAGCAATAGCCCAAGAAAGATGGAATGAACTAAGTTGCCCACAAAGGCCCTGTTGGATACACCAGATTCCTGAAGCATAAAAAGAAACACACAGCTGTAAAGGAAGAGGGAATGCAGCAGTTTTGATTATTTTGTGATTTCTCTATTCTCTAGTCTAGACGAGTGTTTCTCAACCTTATGCTCAAAGAGCACTCCAAGGACTATACATTGAGCTAAATGCATCCCGGAACCATTACTTGCCACTTATGGCTACAGGAAGCCAAATAAAATATCATTTTGCATAGTTAAAGATCAATATTCACCAGCCAAATCTCCAATGAGCATAGACCTGCATGTGAACCCATCCTGGAGAACAGCAATTTCAGAAAGGTTATATAGCACATGTTACAAAGTTCAGCTTTCTCTTGAGATAAAATTTTGGTAAGTACCAGGTTATGTACATCCTGCAAATATCAGGATGTTTCAATTGACAGACTCTAGGGGCAAGAGGAAATACAACAACTTGGTAACAAATGCATCCAAGGTTTGCTTCAGTTTTACCTTTGTGAGTTCTGCTGTTTGAACTAATTTATTTTTGCTGCCAGCATACATCATCTGTTGCTCAGGCTTACATCCTATAATTGTAAAAAAGGAGGAAGGTAAGTAGAGACAAAACCACATTAGTCAGTCTATTTGGCAATAGATCCTCAGTCCTTACTGCATATGCAAGAAACAACTGGTCTTTTCCTTATCCTACTTGCCACTTTAAAATTAACATAACAATTTCCCCAATCTAATGATTTCCAGATGTATCACAACAGACTGGCTAGAAACTAGGGGGGGGGGGTTTGAAATCTTTCAACGCATCTCAAAAATATCAGCTTGGAGAAAATTCGATTAGATAATTCTGCACACCAAAAAAGATTCAGTTAGCAGTAGCAGTAGTTGCTTATTAAAAGTGCTTGGAAAATATTGAAAAGGCCAGGCTGCCTTTTGCCCCCTGAATATGCCTATACTTAACAGTCTTTATCTAAAACTATTATGTACTATATTGGTGGGCACTAGGACGGAACTTTTTCTGTGGCAGCACCCTTAGTCTAGGGGTTTAAGTCTTAAGAAACGTTGATTAAGAATGCTTTAGTTTAAGGGCTGATGTTTTTATTTCTGCTTATTGAGGATAATATATGTCTGTACTTTAAACTTGAAAAGCATGCTATAGATCAGCGGTTCTCAACCTTTGAGTCGCGACCCCATTTGGGGTCGAACAACCATTTTACGGGGGTCACCAAACAATGTGATCCGCCATTTTTTCCCTCGGGGTGGCGCCACGCATGCACGCCGAGCATGGGGGCGCCGCTGCGCATGCGCGCCGTGCCGCGCATGGGGGCGGCGCGTCCTTATGACCAGGGTCGCCGTATAAAAAGGTTGAGAACCACTGCTATAGATGTTTTAATACATGCTTATTAAAAAAAACCCAACATTCACAACTTCATGTTTTATAGATGTTTGGGGTTATGACTTCCATAATCTTTTACTAGCAGGGACTATTGTTGTTGTTGTTGTTGTTAATTGCGAAGTCGTGTCTGACTCATTGCGACCCCATGGACAATGTTCCTCCAGGTCTTCCTGTCCTCTACCATCTTCTGGAGTCCATTTAGGTTCACACCTACTGCTTCAAGCAGGGACTATAGAGGGCACCAGAGGCACTGTACACACATACTTAACAGGAAATCTGATCAACCATTTACTTATTTCACTATCCTCTTCAAGCTAATTAAAAGATATTTATTGAAGACATCAGCTGCCAATTCTATTCATATATACCAAAAACATTAAACACAGAACATATGTTCCAGAGTCTACACCAGCTTGTCAGATTGGAAACATATAAGCATCCACCGAATATTCTAAAAAGCACGCTAAAAGTTTACACACATTACTGAGTGATTCTTATTATTTACATTACAGTAGACCATTATTAGCCCTGTGCTGAAGAGATGGTAATTTAAGATGTGAGGGAATATATCTTACACAACTAAGACAATTTGGTATATTAACCTTTAACGTTCATACACAGAGACTCAGTGTTCACACATAGTGCTAATTTGGTATACTAGTCCTTAACATAATACACACTCAGTGTTTACACATTGTCTTAGGAGTATAATGTATGTCACAATGTGCATCATGTCATTATACAAACGATGCAAAATTATATTTCCACTATGACATCATAATGTATGTGCATTATTTGACTACTTCAAATGCTAATGGTGTTAAGCTATTGTTTTATTTATAAAGGTTTTCACATAATACTAAGCTATCTCCATGACTTGGGAATGCAACTGCTAGTTGTTATGCAGGTAATCCCTAGATAAGTTCAGCATTCAGGGAATGAGAAATTTCCTTACATTTCAAAATCCAATTGCTATCAAGTTATTCATCACCTCAACATAGAATAAAGTGCATAATTGCTGAAGTCTTTACAAATTTAATTAAAGAAGCCTTTAAAAGGTTTTCTGCAGTCCTGGTGAGACTGAAAACAACTGCACTCCCATTAACTAACAAAATTGTTACCAAGGTCTACAGCCATTCTGTGTTCTCACTCCCTTTTCTGATAACCTCTGTCACTTGTTGGTCTCTACAGACTCGTCCTATTCTTCCTACAACTGCTTTGAATGTTTTGTTGACCCAACATAAAGGCCCTTATAATGACACTCAGAAGCCAAACAACATGAACTTGTCCTGCGCCGAGGTGGCGCAGCAGTTAGAGTGCAGTACTGCAGGCCACTTCAGCTGACTGTGTTCAGCAGGTCAGCGGTTCAAATCTCACCGGCTCAAGGTTGACTCAGCCTTCCATCCTTCCGAGGTAGGTAAAATGAGGACCCAGATTGTTGGGGGCAATGTAAATATATATATACATTGCTTACTGGTGTACACCACTTAGAGAGTGTTTGCACTTAAAGCGGTATATAAGTCTCATAAATAAATAAACTTTCCCCAGCTAATCAAAATGAAAATCCTTAACATATCCTTAAGTATTTTTTATCTTGGATGGCAGCCATCTTTTTATTTCTACTGAAGACAGTTTGTACATCCGCTCATGAGAGTTCAACTTACCAACTGGACTTGAGAAGATAAAGCAGAGGGGATAAGAGACTCGCCCATCATCATGCTGATACTTGTAGCTATAGACAATGAATGTGTTCTAAAGGTAAGGAAACTAGAGAACTTAAGTGTGGTTTGTGGAATATTCCACAGCTGGCTTGGTTCACATACACCCTAAACCAGGGGTGTCAAACTGCCGGCCCACGGGCTGGACGCGTCATCCAGAAGCCGCACCCACCCCATTGCTGGCAATGGCAAAACCGTCCTGATACTAGCACGACATCACGTGACGTCACAAGTTTGACATGTCTGCTCTAAACTAAAACCAAATAAACTATAGTCTGATTTATAGAAATGCATGACTCCAGTATAGAAATAAAGTTCTTCCACCTGCTATAAATCCCTTCCCTTCCTGGACACTTATACAAGAAAGGAGATTCTAAGAAAGATCTGTACATCTTCATTTACCTCTAGACTCTATGCTAAGAAGCACAGTATAGCTCTGGGGTATCAAACTCAATTTCATTGCGGTTGCCCTCAGGGGGGCAGGTGGGTGTGGCCAGGTGAGTGGGGCCTACTGGGTGGGCATGGATGGAGTGGGTGTGGCCTACTGGGTGGGCGTGGCCAGCTCTACATCATTTGCGTCAAAGGTGCCTGTGCGGGCCTGGGCAGGAGTGGGACAGATATGAGGGTCTCTGGCAGAAAGGGGTGGGACCAGGGCAAGTGCCAAGGCATGGTCCATTGGAGGAGCCTCACTGTTCCTCTCAGGCCATGCCGGGGGGGGGCTGGATAGTGGTCAAACGCCCAGCCTGGCCCTCGAGCACCCGCTGCACCAAGCCCAGCCCCACTTCCCCAAGGGGGCACCCAGCTGCACTTATTTCCTCTTCAAGGCTGCTGCTGTTGTGCTTGCTCACCTTAGCCAGGTTGCTCATGATGGGTACAAGGGCAAAGTCAGAGGGAGGCCCAGTCCCTCTCCATGGGAGGAGATCTGGCTTTGTATCCAAAGCTTCCTTAGCAATAGGATGGGAGACCCCCAGGATAGGCCAGGAGGAGGGGGCAAGGGGATGGTGAAAGGGCAGCAGGGCAGGACTAAGGTAGGACTTCCCTCAGACCCTCCCTCTCCTTTCCTTCTTTCCTTCCTTCTTTCCTAAGTACAGAGTGGTGGGAAAATATTTGAGATGGAGGAAGAAAAACAGGCAAGAAATGCAGCTGGGGAGGTGTCACCCTTCGTGAGGAATGAAGAAATGCACCATCGCCTGGAAGTGGCCAGCGCGATGGTGCATTTCTTCATTCCTCACAAAGGTGACACCTCCCCAGCATGCACCCAGAGGGCGGGGGTGACGTGGCAGGGGCTGGTTCCTCACTGTTTCTAGATGGCCTTGTGGAGCTAAGACTGAATGTGTTTCAGCATAGATGGCGACCATAAAATTGTACATTGGATCCCGGCCAACCTGGCCAGGGGCAAGGCAACGGGGGCCGTTCCCTCACTGTTTCCAGGATGGCTTCGCGGGCCACATGAAACCACTTTGCAGGCCGCATCCGCCCCCCGGATCTTGTGTTTGACATTTCTGGTGTAGCTTATTGGCTCAGGCACCAAAAATGACAGCAGAAAATCATTTCTCTGTACCAAAATATTACTTTGTTCAATGATAAAAGATATCGAGGTTGTCTTTCTGGAAGTTCATCTTTTAGTTCATCTGGAGATATACCCTGTAAGAATCACAACAACTAGTATTTTAGCAATGTCCTATTATAGTCAATATGCAATACATTATTACAGCCTTCACTCATTTTAAGAAAGTATTTAAAGTCAATACCAGCACTTAAAAACAAATTATTACAACCTGTTAGTTTAGTGCAAGAATATTCTTTATTTTTCTTTGGCTGCATACATGTATAAATATATATAAGTAATGTACCTACTGAGACCATGTTTAACAAAAAACAAAAAGTTTATATATTTAAGCTTGGCAAAACAAAAAGCTACTCCAACTCAAACATACCTCATGTTCTTCATCCAGAACTACCAGCTGTTTCTCTTTGTCAATTTTCACTATACAATAAAAGAAAACAAACAAAAAAAAAGTTCATTTAAATTATGCTATCTGCGGGAGGTGGGGGAAATTATTGTCATTCACTTAGGTGTCTTTGTTTTTTTTACTGGTTCTTTTTCTCTTTCGCCTGAACTAATAGTCATCGCTGAATACAGCAAGATCACTAGAAAAAGTATTTCCTAATAGTCATCAGGCTAGTTTCAAATTTAGCCAAAGGAGTACCATGTCTGATCCATGCTCATCTAATATTTGGCTGTAAACATTTTCCCAGGAAAGTTGAAACCTAGATTTATTGAACCATTTATTATTAAAACCTACAAAGACTCAAGACACCAATTTCTCCCTTAAACATCCCAATGCTACATAAAGGATCCTGGCTCTAAAGAAGTAAAATTGGAAAAAGGATTATAAAAATTTTGGATTTAAAAGAAAACTCTAAATCAATGGTTCTCAACCTTTTTAATGCCGCGACCCCCAACCGGCCGTAAGTCGAGGACTACTAAACCGGTCGTAAGTCGAGGACTACTCAACTGATGCAGCACCGTTTGCAGAATGGGACTTTTGGCGGGCTCAGCAGGGCAGAGACAGCCTGGACAATTCCTATTGGCTTTTGAAAGCCAATAGAATTAGACTCTATTCAAGAGAGTCTATTCTATTGGCTTTCAAAAGCCAATAGAATAAAAGGGAGTAGCACAGCTAAGGAAAAGGGGAAAAAATGGCGGACTGCGTTGTTTGGCGACCCCCGTGAAATGGTCGTTCGACCCCAAATGGGATCCCGACCCACAGGTTGAGAACCACTGCTCTAAATGGTATGGGAGACATCTTGTGGCTAAACCTGATATTACAACTTGTTATTGCTTAAAAGAGACTTGGCTTGAAGTCCAGACTATGCATAAGACTATTGTAATCTTGACAGATATCAGTTGTGAGAAGCCCAGCTGTGTTCTATATTCAGTGACAAAAAAAAACATTCTTTGATTGCAAAGCTTTTAACTTAACACACTACTAAGAGAACATGGATAAAGATCAGGAACAGATTCTCTTTATGTTGAAAGTAATTTATGAAACTATTCTTACAGCTACTGATGAAACAAGAAGTTACAGAAAAGAACAAGATGTCAGCCTAGATATACGAACCCAAACTTTGATTACAACTAAAAAATCAACTACACAGAATATAATAGAAGAAATGAAACAATTAAATACTATGACAGAAGATTTAACTGATCAGCAAACACAGTTAATGGAAAACCCAAAAAGGGACTGACAACATGGAACAGGGAAAAGACTTTCTATATAAACCAGAAGAAACCTGAGGATCAAGAAGAAGAGACTGAAGGGAAGATAAACATTTCAAAACAACTACATCAAAATGGAAAATAGAGACGATTTGTTAGTCGTTTCAAAAAAATGGTGACTGGATGGCTTTTTCTACTTCAAACAATATATACAACAACACAGGGAGATTTATTTGATGACTTAAAAACATGGACATGGAAGGCAAGCTGGCAAAGAAAGAAAGCTAGAGTAAAACTGAAGAAAATTGGGGTTTTGACTTATCAGTGAGAATTAAAATAGAACATACTCAAATAGATAAGATGTGTATTTTGAATACTACATTTTGTTATGAGCCGAGATAAAGAAAACTTTGGTCATTTAAAACTTGGAAGTATAAATATAAATAGTTAAATTTGAATATCGATTTGCTTATAAAGGTTGAATGTAAAAGTAATTAAGATATGTATAAGCTAAAAATTTCTTGATGAATGTAATAAATATGGTTTTACTTAGCTGTTATAATAAATAAATATGAGATAGTAGACATCAAGAGAAAAAGAGAGGAAGTATTAAATGTTGACATAAGAGAAATTTTGGTTACTAAATTTAAGACATTTGGAAATTAACAGAAAATAAAAATGTTAAACTGTATTATTAATTAGTTGAGGTAAGATGGTGAGAAATAAAATATATTTAAATAAAGATGTGTATCCTGAACATTAGATTTTGCGATGAATTGTGATAAAGGGAACTGTGGTTATTTAAAACTTGGAAATTACAAATATTAAATGTTAAATTTAAATATTAACGGGAAACTAAAAATTGGGAAAAAGTAATTAGGACATTGTCTATAAAGACTGAATGTTAAAATAACTAGGATATAATAATAATAATAATAATAGTAAAGTTGGAAGGGACCTTGGAGGTCATCTAGTCCAACCCCCTGCTCAGGCAGGAAACCCTACACCATTTCGGACAAATGGCTGTCCAGTCTCTTCTTAAAAACTTCCAGTGTTGGAGCATTTACTGCTTCTGGAGGCAAAATGTTCCACTGATTAATTGTTCTCACTGTCAGGAAGTTTCTCCTTAGTTCTAGGTTGCTTCTCTCCTTGATTAGTTTCCACCCGTTGCTTCTTGTCCTGCCTTCAGGTGCTTTGGAAAATAGCTTAATTCCCTCTTCTTTATGGCAGCCCCTGAGATATTGGAATACTGCTATCATGTCCCCCCTTGTCCTTCTCTTCGTTAAACTAGACATACCCAATTCTAGCAACCGTTCCTTATATGTTTTAGCCTCCAGTCCCCTAATCATCTTTGTTGCTCTTCTCTGTACTCTTTCTAGAGTCTCAACATCTTTTTTACATCGTGGTGACCAAAACTGGATGCAGTATTCCAAGTGTGGCCTTACCAAGGCATTGAAGAGTGGTATTAATACTTCACGTGATCTTGATTCTATCCCTCTGTTAATGCAGCCTAGTACTGTGTTGGCCTTTTTGGCAGCTGCCGCACACTGCTGGCTCATATTTAACTGATTGTCTACTAGGACTCCAAGGTCCCTCTCACAGTTACTACTATTGAGCATGGTGCCACCTATGCTGTACTTGTGCATTTGGTTTTTCTTGCCTAAATGTAGAACCTTGCTTTTTTCACCATTGAATTTCATTTTGTTAGTTAGTGCCCAGTGTTCAAGTCTGTCCAGATCCTTCTGTATCTGAAGCCTGTCTTCTGGAGTGTTGGCTATTCCTGCCAGCTTGGTGTCATCTGCAAATTTGATGAGTTCCCCATCTATCCCTTCATCCAAATCGTTGATGAAGATGTTGAAGAGTACTGGGCCCAGAACAGAGCCCTGGGGCACCCCACTACACACTTCCCTCCATATAGATGCAGTTCCATTGAGGACCACTCGCTGAGTACGGCCGGTCAGCCAGCTACGGATCCATCTGGTGGTGGTTCTGTCTACCCCACATTTTTCTATCTTGTCAAGTAGTAGGTTGTGATCTACTTTATCAAATGCCTTACTGAAGTCCAAGTAAATTATGTCCACAGCATTCCTCTGATCCACTAATTTTGTCACTTGGTCAAAGAATGCAATAAGATTTGTCTGGCATGATCTATTTTTGACAAACCCATGTTGGCTTTTAGTAATGACTTTGTTTGCCTCTAGGTGTTCGTTGATTCGTTGTTTGATTATCTTTTCCAGGATCTTCCCAGGTATTGAGGTCAGGCTGATAGGTCTGTAATTTCCTGGATCCATTTTTTTTCCTTTTTTGAGGATGGGAACTACATCAGCTCTTTTCCAGTCCTCTGGTAGTTCCCCTGTGTTCCAGGATCTTTGAAAAATATAGTTCAGTGGCTCCGATATCACATCTGCCAGTTCCTTGAGAACTCTGGGGTGTAATCCATCTGGTCCTGGCGATTTGAACTCATCTAGGCTGGACAGGTGCTCCCTAACCATTTTCTTGCCTATCTTAACTTGTGTTTCTGTTTTGTTTTTTATGGCACTATTTTTGATAGGTTGGTATATGTATAAACTAAAAATTATTGATAAATGTAAGAAAGTTATTTTTATTTAATGGATATAATAAGAATTGTATTAGTTTAAATATGAGACTGTAAATACTAAGGGGAAAAGACAAGAAATATTTAATGTACTAGTTTGAGATTTGTATTAAAGATACTTGTATGTTATTGAATTATCGATTAACTCAGCTACTGTGTTGCTTTTTAAATATTTAAATGTAAAATTAGAAAATCAATAAAATTTTCTTTAAAAAAAAATCTTACATTCCCCAGTGGATGCCAACCATAATTAACTTACTTGTATGCCAAAGTCTGCACTCTTCAGAATTTTGCATGTACATGTAAAATTGTACATGTAATTCAAATTCAACTAAAACAATGGAAATGCTATACAGAAAATTTTACATGATTTTGTTTGCACAATGTATTCAAAACGACTCAAAATAGGGCAAATCTATACAACCCAAATGCTCCTAGATTTGCTTCAAAGACTTAATGGCCTTTTAAAACTTGTGTGTGGGGGTATTCAGAAACAGAAATCCAAGTTATTTTCCGCCAGAAGAGAGAACATGAGACTGTATTATTCCCCCTTATGAGCGTTGTGAGCCCTCCTTTTCAGCTTACTGATAATGGCTGCATTGTTCGTGTCTTTACGAAAACGAAACTTTCTCAGCTTCTCTACCAGGTCTTCAGCAACATCACAAACCACTAGGGATTCACTCTAAAGAGAAGAGGGGCAGGGAGTGAAAGAGAAAAGGCACAGATGAACAAAAGGACTCTTTATTCCAGACATACATATCACTCTGGTCCTCAACTGCTGGAGATGCAATACATATAAAAAATAATAATAATCAGGCAATATTTTATTTGGAGAAAAGCTATAGCAAGTATTTTGAAGAAGAAAACACATAATGAAAATGTAGCACAGTATTCCATGAGGACAACTGTTGCACTTTCCTAGTCTGCTGCCCTCCAGATAAGTTTAGTTTCATTATATTTGGAATGTAGGGAGAAGATTTCAAGACCCCATTACCAAATCCATTTGGCATATACAGTGGAAGCTTGCTGGAGTTGTTGTAGTCCCAAGCCCACTTGGAAGGACCTGAGTGGAGGATTCTGGCTATTCATACTGTCACTTTCTTTTATTTTCCTGCACAATTGTCGAAGAAATCAAGCTTCAGAGGCAATGGGAGGATGCATACAGTGTGAATTCAATGTAACTAGAGGAAAGATACTTATCCTTTTCTTCCCTCAAAATCCTTGATGGTCTTACCCACTGTATCTCTATTCTTACACTCCAGGGTGGAGAACACAAAATCTTTCAGGTGTTGTTGAATTAACAGTTCCAGCATCCCTTGCTTCTGGCTACGCTTGCAAGCTTGCTGGGCAATATTTTATTTGTTTATAGTGTGAACCCACAGTCTCCAGATTCCTAGCCTGGTGCTTTAACCACTAGACCAAACTGGCTCATTCAGGTATCCCAATGCTTTCCTACCTGTGGTCATCTCTTCGACCATCCTTGCTATTGAAAGGTTTCTAACTTATTCAAATAATTCCACTTGGCATTTCCTATGCCATCCAAACATCTCTATCATGCTACTTTTCTTACTTTCATTCTTCCTTTCCTTCTTCAAATCCTTCATTTGCTTCTTTTGTAAAGTATGCAACAGAATGCACTATCCTCACATTCAGCTGAAATGAATCTTACTATGATTATAAAAACTAAATATTCTCACTTGATTGTCTGTGATTCCATTTCCCTAGCTTTCCCATTTTGTCTCTCTTAGGTTGCTTTCCACACCATTATGCCTTCTGGATCTGCCTTTTTATTATTTTGATAGTGGGTTCCATAGACAATATGTACAATTGACTATTCCCAGTACTGCATGGCAACATCTCCCAACACACAGCTCGTTATCAGAATTCAATATGGGCAGCAGTGCTAAATATAGTTCTGAGGAAATACATATACATGTATTCAATGTGATTTACTTCTGCAAAACCTAGTAATAATTCTAGGCTCTGTTCACATATTTTACATAGCCATAATGTTACTTTGATTTTGGCTTGAAATATGTCTGTAGTGACTGTTTAGTCAGAAACCTATGCTCAAAAAAATGACTTAATACATGGTAAAGCCAGCCAAGAGCAGCTTGTGGACTTTGCAGATATAGCATTGCAGTAGGCAAGGTGATCCACCTCAGGAAGAAGGGCAACACTCAGGACCAACATAACTAATGTATGCGTTACTAAATCAAACAGCTAAGAAAACCCAGGTTTCTTTTCATTCTGCAATAAATAAATTGGGGAGATTCCCATGTCCAATATAGAAAGCTATACATTTTTACAAAATGGGTAATTAGCCTACAAAATTTCTAAAATTGTAGCAATAGGCACCAATTATAAAAGGAAATAAGACAATTTATGGAGAATAGTAGTCATTAGTCACAGCTGCTTTATATTATTTCCAGTTGCCAAGGCAGCATGATTTTCAACATTAAGAAAACATTAGTCCATGGGTTTATGTTGAGCTTTGAATTTCTCATATGCACCTGGTTCCAAAAGAAGAACGCTTCTGCACCTGATTGTCCAACATGGATATATTAGACTAGGATGCTAAAGTGATTCAGATGTTTTTATTCAGGGACTAATTGATAAAATTATTCAAAACAGATATTGCAAATGAAGGCAAATATACGTGTCCCAGGATAATGTTACAGGATCCAACTGAGTCAGTCACAGGGACCAAAGGTTTATTCTTTCAAGCTGCTGGAGCCCATCATCAGGGAACTTCTCTCTCTCCATAATATGTAAAACAGATATTCATTATTCTATATTACACAAATAAACAGAACAGACAGTATTACATTTCTTTTTAAAAAAAACACTTGCTCATAAATCCAACCTGCAATCTATTTTACTGTAGGCATACAATACTCACCGTGTATAAATGCTGTATGAAAATATAACCTGGCAGTTACAATTGCACACAATTACATTAAGCCAGAAAAGCCACAAATGAGTTTCCCAAGCAGATTGACTTTCAGGCATTTGTTATGATATGCAAATCAACTATTTCAAAAAAACACATTTGCTTATCACAGAAGGTTCTGAGCCTGCAAGGAGTCCTTGAGCATGAGAACAGAGTATCGCAATCTTGTTGCCAAGGAAAAAGAATAAAATGGATTCAGAAATCTTCATCTTCTGTATCTTACTGTTTAGAGATTTGGCATCGGTCCTGTGCTATATCAGGAGCCAGTATAAAAACCACAGGATTAGGGGGAGATTAATTTGTTGACCTTTCCTTCTCACCTTTGCAAAATATTGCAAAACATTTTGGATAAGAACTGTTTTTGTTTATCTTACATCTATTACTCCAAAGCATAATATATAATGTGTTAAAAATGCATTTTTGAGGGAACATAACATCTAAGAAAAGTTGCTTCAAAGCACATAATTCCTAGTCAGGGGCAGGAAGGAGATCCCAATTACATTTGATGGGTTTAGAAACACAGATATGTGCTGCATTTCTTCATACCAAAGTCTTAAAATCTCTCACAAATACACAGTTTGGGGGTCACAAAAGTCTTGTTTTTTTAGTTAGGCAAAAGTTTCACCAATGACTTCTGAGCACACAAAGAGATAAGTCAAATTCCTTAATATTAAGCAATATTTGTAGTTAGGAATTAAAAGTTGCAACAACACAAGGGAATGGATTTGAAGAGAAAGGCAATGAAGAATCTCAAGGCCATTCAGACCAATCTCTCCTTGCAATGTACACAAGCTACTTCTCCCTGTCAACAATGGCTATAGATAGAAAATGAACAGAGTTTTTGGACCAGAATAAGAAGCAGTAATACCATTACTTTTACAAATGAAAATAAGTATACTCAAAGGTATGGTTTAACACAAATAAGAAAAAACATTAGTGCTTCAAATTATTTTTCTCAGGACTGCCATGGAGCAGTAATAAAATAATAAAGTCTTCAAGTTAACTCCTAGCAAATTCATGAACATAAATTTGAGGGGGGGGGAGTAGCAAAATGAAATGATTTCCTACTGCCTTCTTCCAGACTTTTTATTTTATTTTATTTTATTTTCCAGTCTAACATCCTTAGATTTTCAGATGATTTCTCATCCAAGAACTAATCAGTCAAGGTTGGCTAGATGCTGCCACCTGCTTAACAAGGAGCATTTAGGTGTCATAATATCAGATTCTGCCAACTCCTTCTACAGTTACACATACTGAAAACCCCATTTAAATCCATTGGCATTTTTCCCTAAATAAACACAAATTAGTCAGTTGCAAGACCCCTAGAGCAATTATCATGGATTACAGTTCTCCTTTCAGGAATTTTTTAGGAAACAGATCCTATCAGAGGATAAAGTTCAAGTTTAACCCCATGGACCTTTTCCCCAGAGAGACCTGAACTATCAGGATTATAAATGTGCCTCAATCACTCCCAGGATTTAAGCCACTTATTTCTTCACTTTTTCCATCAAACCTTGAAGTGCAAATGTAATGCAGTTATTTGTCTGTGAGCATGCATTTAAAATATTTGAAGGGGCTTTTCCTAATGACCACTTAGGGTTTCCCCAAAGTGGTCAATACTGACCCTCAAGGTTCAATAGGACAATCCATTATTATTAGTTTTCATATTACTATTAGTTATTAAATATTTGAGGGTCAATGAACAATCTGAAACTTCCTAAAAGGGTTGATGAGCTGAAGAGCTAGAGCGTATTTCCCAATCTCAGAGAAAGAGAGGTGTAAACTTCAACTCCCAGAATTTCCCAGCCAGGTTGAGAAACACCGGACTAGAGGAAAAGTACCCATTGTCCCCAAGGCAGGGTCTCCCAGATGTCCTGGACTCCAAATCTTAGCCATTTATTTTAATGATAGAACGGGAGGGAAAGAAAACTGCAAATGGAAAGAAATGAGCGCTTGTGCTAAGAAAGAGACCTGCAAAATGGGAAAAGAAAATTGCACTTTGGCCCTACCTTTGCAAGAAGCATTGATTTGTCTTTGAGGAGGCGGCAAGGAGTAGCAATTCCAAGCTCTGCCCCTCCCCCTTCCGACGCGAGGGAAAATTGGAGATAATTTCATTAAAAAGGAGCATCAATCCGAAGATTGGTGGATCATCCCCGTAACTGGAATTCATCGCCTTAACCTTTTTCAAATATTTAGGCGAAGCTTACAGGAATCCATACGTTGTTTACAAGCCACAATATATCATTCTAATAAACAAGCGCATTGCATTCAATTTAGCTGGATTTGTTGTTATGCGAGGGGAGAGATCTCATTCTCCATCCAATCGCTGGGAGGGGGCTATTTATTTAGAGCTTAAATAACTGCAAGAAGGACGGAAAAAAGAAAGATGAAAACCTAAACGCCAAAAAGCAAATCGCAATTCCATAAGGGATCTCGTGAACTTACCATCTTGTAGCTGCAGCAGCTGCCTTCCCTAGCGCTGGCCCTTTAAGAGGCCGGGTGGGTCCTCCCCACCTCAGCCCCAATCCAGTTCCAGGCCCACTTAGTGCGCATGGCCTGAGCATTCCCTGAACCAATCAATTGTATCGCTCGGCTTCGGCGGCAGCCTCCCCTAGCTACGGTGAGCGAGAGGCCATCGCTCTGGAACTCCCTCTGAAGTGGGGATCATTACAGCAATTGTCTCCCTACTTCCCTCCCACCCGAGCGTCCATCCACCCGCCCACGCCTAGAGAGGCTGGAGGATAAAGAGCGTCCCATAGTCGATAGTCCATAATTCCGGGCGGGGCGAGGGAGAGTACTTCCTCCTCGCTCTCCCGCCTCTCAGTTAACCAGGAAGCAATGTTACCATAGTAACCAATACTCTTTTCTTTTCCTCCCAAAAAAGAGAGGCCGTGCTACTGCTCCCTTTAAAACCGAAACAAAGCCAGGCTAAGCAAAATTAAATAATGTGTTTACTCCTAAACGAAAAACAACCATTAATTACATTTTGGGCTCAAGTCTTATTTTAAAAGTTCAAATTTAACATTTAAAATTGTTAATAAGGGGGTCCTTGTTTTCTTGCAGACGTTTCATTATCCAAACTAGATAACATCACTGCTAGTAAAACTGTTAATATCTCTACTATAGAAGTAGTCATTTTACACCAAGGAAATTGTCTTCGGATATGCTGTTGAAGACTTAACCACTGCGTGAGATTGAGACGCCTCTCACAAAGGCTTATTCCAGCCTTTTCCAATCTGGTGTCTTCATGATGAACTAGACCACATCTTCTATCATTCACAACCAGCATTGTATCCCTATCAGCTCACCTTGGTTTGCATTATAATCCTGGTGGATTATAATGGCTTTTATATTATAATCAATTTGTTACTCTCAAAAAGTGTTTCTCAACTTTGACCACTTTTAAGATGTGTGGACTTCAACTCATGAATTTCCCAGCTGGTGTGAACTTCAATTCCCAGAATCCCCCACTGGCTAGGGAATTCTGGGAGTTGAAGTCTACACATCCTAATGTGGTCACAGCTGAGAACCATTACTCTGAAAGATACTATCCAATCATCTCAACAGTCTCTGGGCACTTTTGATTGGAACGCAAGCTTTGGGATGCAAGAGAAACTGGATTTGGAGCATCTGCCTACTAATGACTGATCATCTTGACAGTGGTTATGCAGGCTCCATAGAAACCTAGATCAATCACTCTTTTGAAAAGGTGGTTTTAAGACTAAGGGTCCTGGTTTTAGATGCGTACTGGTACGTTAGCAAAGTAAAGAATTGACCCAAAGCTGCAATGACCAGGCTCATGTTCAAAAGAATATCACTTTTATAAATTACCAGGCACCAGGGACTGGTTCCATGGAGAAAGGTTTTTCCACAGATCAGAGGGGGCATGGTTTTGTGTGCTGCCTGCATCCCACAGATGGGGCTTTGCTTGTTTGTGCAGACCCGTTGCTGGTGTGCTGCAGCCCAGTACCGGTCCACAGACTGGGGGTTGGGGACCCCTGGATTAAAACATATAAGTCAATACCAGCATAAAACAACAGAGTACAAATTATAAACATAATCCTGATTGACTACTTGGATGAAAGTCCTGTGGAATTGAGTCAAGTCCAGTAAATGTGTATTGAAATTTTGTTAGCAAAAAAACTGAACAAAATTGAATCAATGGGATGCAAATGAAGTTTATTTTTTGTTAATACTTTTAATATATAAACATACAAGTTATGGTAAATGTACACAAATGTTCAAAAGTACAAATAGCAACAGCATTAGCACAGAAAAACAGAACTGCAATAATTTATGTATGCTTAATTCTTATTTTAATCCATCTAAGGATCCATTTAAGTTCATTGAATATGCATGAAGCACTTTACTGAAGTAGTAATATGATATTTTTCTATTTTTTTCAAGATCAGCACATGGTTTGGACCTCCAGAAGCTGCAGCTCCTACCATCTCTCCTCGTTAGCCTTCTCTGGTTGGAATTCAACAACTGGCTTTGAGTGATGGTTTTTGTATTGTGGTGTGCTTCAACCTAACAGAGTGACATCGAGTCCTGTATGTACTGACATTTTAAAAAACTGTGTGGGCATGGCTGCATACTACCAAAACAATATTTAAATGTTTCAAAGAGACAAATAATATATTGTAATGGTGTGTTAATAATAGTATACAGTACCGATTGAGTTGAAAGCGTGGTATAATATACGGGAGGATATCTGCATTAAATATCACGAAGCGAACCGGTAAAACGCGGTTGGAAAACGCTCTCACCAACCCGATCTGCAATAACAAAAGGAGGAGGAGGAAGTGGCAAGCCGGGAGGCGCAGCTTCCCGATTTCTTGGCGGGCATGCGCCTCCTTCGCACATGCGCTCCTAGATGAAAACAAAAGGGCAGTGGGGTTTGGAGCGGGAGCGTCTCTCCTCTCTCTTTTTTGTTACGTGATGGCTGCTGCATTGTTGGTGACGCTGTACGAGTATTCTCCGCTGTTCTACATTGCCTTGGTGTTCATCTGCTTCTTGGTGACCAGCGGCCTGATCATGGGCTGGTAAGTCGGGTAGCGAAAGAACAGGACGGTGGGAAGGCTGTGGATGGTTAGAGTTTGCGCGGCGGTTTCTCGAGTCGAACCACGAAGATTCGCTGAGAGCCTTGATCGGAGAGGGGAAGTGGGGGTGGAATATGCCAAAAGGCGATTGTCCTCTAACCGGGTACCCCCCGCTTGCCATGGACAAGGATTCCCACTGTCAGATTTTCCATAGGATGTGTGTTGGGCACGGTAGGAGACGTGGAGTAGTCCAGTGCATCTGGGTTGGGAATGATTCCTGTGGGATTCAACATAGCCCGCACTAAGGCTGTTGAAAGCATCGGCAATCTTAATTAAATGCTTGTAAAGGGAAGCAGTATTAGGAACCTCATGGGTTGAGTGAGAGACCATTTAAATGGGGAGGAATTGAGCAAGATAGTCGGGGGGGGGGAGGAATCCAAGAGGTTTAAAGTCTGGCTACTGTGGAATAAAGCATGGGGTTTGGTAGAAAACATGTACAGTAATGGCCAAAATTGTGGAAACCTTTTGGGGGAAGTGTACAGTAGAAATGCCACCTTTGGTTAAGTTTCCACCAATTTTTCTTCTAATTTCTTTATAACTGTAGCCTTGTTCACTTAATAATACTATTTTACATCGCTTTCTTGGCAACCAGTCAACTCTTTGCACCATTACTTTAATTTTATTACATTTTACAAGTTCACTAAATGAAAGAAGACAAAAAAAAACCCAACCAACTTGATAGCAATCACATAACACACTGACAAATGTCCTCCTCTCACCTTCAGTACATGACATCAATAACTGGATCCTACTGTCATCTGATTGGCTCATTGCCAAAACAAGATGACACCTGATTGGCTCTCTAAACACTCATGCACATTGGCTACAATCAGATGAAGGAAAGCTACCTGATATCAACCTAAGCAAGTTGTGCTTCCTTTTTCTGGTTATTTGGCTATAACAGACATGTCAAAATCGCGACGTCACATAACATCGTGCAATGTATCAGGATGATTTTGCCATTGCTGGCAATGGAGTGGGCGCAGCTTCCACATGACGCATCCGGCCCGCAAGCCAGCAGTTTGACACCCCTGGGCTATAACTTTTCATAGAATACAGATAATTGAACAAACTATGTTGCATTACATTCCTGATTAAATTATCTTTCCATTGATATATAACTTTATGATACTATTCCAAAAAAAGTGATGTTATTAGCCATCATGCCTCAAAAATACACTTTTCCCAAAAGGTTTCTACAATTTTGGCCACTACCGTACAAATCTTTGTTTATTTCATTATGCTTTAAGTTACACTGAAGAATGGGTTACACTCAGTCCTTTCAGGTCTCTAATTCTATGATTACAAACATTTTGTACTCCTTAGGTTTGGATGGGATGTTCCTGTGATTCTGAGGAATTCAGAAGAAACTGAATCAGTTGTGAAAGTGTCTCAGAAACAGATGCAGCAAGTGAAAAATCCATTCAGTTTAGAAATCAAAAACCCAGAAATCACTTCAGCTTCAAGTCAGTATATTGTATATAATATTTGTTGACATTTTTTGTTTTTTCTTATTTCCTCCATTTTTATTTCTATTTGCCACAAGAAGTGGATGCAGTTTTGGTGATTTAATTTGAAAGCATGTTTATCTTAAATCACTTCTGTTATTATCCCTCTTTAAACAATAAGCATGCAAAAGAAAATAGAGAAACTTTTTAAAGAAAATTCTGCCCCTTATTGGTTTTAATTTGAACTATAAACTTAACTGAAATAAGAAACACTGTGGGGGGAAAACACTCAATTTATATGTGGATAATAATTCTGTGTCCTTGTGGATGTGGGAGCTGAAGCACTATAAGCTCATTACAGAGAATCACCAGAAAGTATGCAGCTGTTTCATTGGTTAATTTTACATGACAAGAATTAGGTCTATTAATAGCACAATTTAACTGACAGTTTTAATCTAAATATATTTATAACCTTATATGGCCTCAAAAAGATAATGGGTCAGCTTTGGAATGCTTTAGATTTTCACTGCTTTTGAGCATGGAAATTTGAAAGAGTAGGAGAATTTATCTCCTATAAAGTAGCATGATATGAAGATAATATTTTGTATCCAATGTTGAGTTTTGAGTAGCACAATTCTTTGTTATACATTTGTATCATTGTTTTCATTTACCTCAAGATGGCATTACTCTGGTATCTAATTGCTTGGAAGACTGTCTCCTTACATGCTATTGGGGCTGCAGCGTGCAAAAGGTTCATGATGCTCTGCAGAAACATGCTTACAGCTTTCGAATAAAAACTCCCCAGTCTTTTGAGGATGCAATGTGTCATGAGTATCTCTATTGTCAACAGTATTGGTATCCTTTAGTGAAGCTTGTGTATTTTCAATTTTGCGCAAACATACAGTGGGAATTTCTCCTCGTAAATATAGCATGTACTAGTAAACAATGTTTCATTATGGTTGTAAAGAAAAAATAGAAAAATAAGGGGAGTGGCAATGTCCCATGCCCTTGATCAGTCATTAATGTCTTTATGTCAATTTTGATTTTAATTTATGCTTAAATTAAACTTTAAACATTGTGTGCATTTTAAAAGTTAACTTCATTTGTTTTGGGACAAAATTTCTGCATTTTTTTTAATGTTCATACTAATCTGGGGAAGTTATGCAGCACATGCTGCCTTCTTAGTGATTTTTGCCCCTGCAGAGTGAAATCCAGTATTAGTAAAATTGGGCATGCTTTGAAAATGATTTGAAAGAATTACATTGGAATTCAGATGATCATAGCATCTCTCTGCTATTTTTTAAAGTTGCTGTGCTTTGTTTTGTTTTCTGACTTATATGTAAGCTTGAAAAATGACACAATTATTGTGATAGTCCCAATAAATCAATTCAGCTCATTAAAATACAGGTATATGTCCTCAATTACCACAATTGGAACTGGCAATTCCATTGCTAAGCAAGTCATGTAATTATTGCCTCATTTCCCGGCAGTTGTTAATCAGATTATCTGAGGTGACACTTCTGTGACTGCAAGTTGCAATTTTACTGCTGGCTTCTCTGTTCATTCTGCCTGTAGGAAGTCAGCTTTGAAGTGTGTAAATAATCACAGGAATGCTGCAACAATCATAAGTGTGAAGACCGGTTGCAAATTTACTTTTACAGTGCCATTGTAACTTTGAAGGCTCACTAAACAGAATATCAGTAAGAAAGGACTATGTCTTTTTTAAGGCTCATATGGAAGTGTCTGCTTTTACAAATGATGGTATGGTGCTTGTATAGCTTCTAATATTCTTCTTCCAAATCATTTTCAAAGCATGCTTAACTCCAGTATGTCTACTGCTAGACAGACAAGTTGATAGAATGAATTATATGTACTCCCCGGGCAAGTGAATATTTCAGAATAATTTGAAAGATTAATGATGAAAGGAAAATCCTTATATCTGAACTGAAAGTTACTTATGCAACGCTGGATGTTGTTTGTAGGAGCTAGTAAAATAAATGCAACTATTTAAAGGTTCAATCCTAATTTCTGTGCTCCTGAATAATTAACAGATAGTTATTCTTTTGTCTCAGGTGAAAGCAGTTGAGATTGTAGAATAGTGGTTGTTATATAGTTTGAACTTCTTTTGTAAATTTGATGGCATGATTAGCATATTAGTCTTTATTTGTGACAACTAAGAGTGTTCCTTGACACAACAAAGCATAAAGAAGGCAGAAAAAGAGGAAAAGCATAGCCGATTACCAGAAGTGACAAAAATCCATGATTTTGGTCTAGTGCCTAGATCTCGATACCCACTAGTGGTACTGTTAACCCTTGCTGATGAAGGCAACAGAGAAATCTATGACATTGTAGGTAATCTCCACATTTTTTTAAACAGGAATTTGTGTTGTCCTATACATTATAAAAAATTACCGCTGAATAGAATTAAGATGTTTGAGCTTTTTGATTTCTGTTACAGAACTTTCAGTTTTAATAAGAATTTCTTCAGGTTTAAAACCATTACTGCCGGTAACTCTGGAAACTGAATAAAGTGCAATTATTGAAAATTATAAAGTTCTCAGCCTGTGATCCAGGAACCACTGATGGTCCTTGGAAATGCTATAGGTGATTATTGATGTGGATATAGTAAGAAGTTGAGTGAATTTAATGATTTTTTTGTCATTTTTTTTTAAATGTATTTTTGCTGACTTAGGGCTATGTAGTCATCATTTTTTTAATGGTAATATAGTGCTCTATATAAAAGAGGGATTTGGGAGCTACTGACTAGATGTCTATGGAAATTCTGAGTCATCCAGGTCATAGTTATCCCAAAGATGTTTTTTCACAAGGCAACTGGAGGCAAGTTTGTTGAATGAGAAGCAAAACTGTCTTCAAAGAAAAACAAGAAAGTCCAGTTGCCTTGTGACAAAGCATCTTTGGGAGAGCTACTGACTAGGTTTCTGCAACTTGCTACTTCCCAAACATGTTAGAATTTCAACTCCCATAATTCCCCAACTAGTATGGCTGAAACAGAATTTTAGAAATCATTCCAAACATAGTTCTTGACCTCATCATATCTCATAAATTTACAAATTATACTTGTCTCAGGTAAAAAAATTACCAAAAACCCCTCACTATTCTTACTGCTTATAGGCAAATCTTAATATTTCAGCAAGCTTTTAACTTGCATAGTCAACTAATAAAGCCAAACTGATTTTCTTAGGTGATCTTAAAATATCACATGACACAAATCACAATCAGCGGGAGCAATAGTTCATTGGAATCTTGTTTGGAAACTAAGATTCCGAGGTGGTGCAGCAGTTAGAGTGCAGTACTGCAGGCCACTTTAGCTGACTCTGTTCAGCAGGTCAGCGGTTCAAATCTCACCGGCTCAAGGTTGAGTCAGCCTTCCATCCTTCCGGGGTAGGTAAAATGAGGACCCAGATTGTTGGGGGCAATGTAAAATATATATACATTGCTTACTGGTGTACACCGCTTAGAGAGTGCTTGCACTTAAAGCGGTATATAAGTCTCATAAATAAATAAATAAATGTATTAGTTATTTTAATAATAAATAATTGAAATAAAGGTTACACAGTGATTGCCTTTTTGTTAAGGTGTAGCCCAGTGGTGGCGAGCCTATGGCACGGGTGCCAAAGGCGGCACTCAGAGCCCTCTCTGTGGGCACGCACGCCATCGCCCCAGTCCTAGGCCTTCAGCTGGGTTTTATAAAATCTTTTCACTTTAGGCCTCTGCCACCATGTGTATAAAAAAAAAAAAAGGTTCAATCAGTCAATTTCAACTTCTTGCGGGGGAAAAAAAAAGATGTTGCAAAGTTGGAATTGATTGATTGAACTTTTTAGTCCCACCCAGTCTGCTGTTACCATCGCAGCCACACCCACCCAATGGGCCACGCCCACCCGGCACTCGACAATGCATAAGTGGGTTTTGGATTGCAGTTTGAGCACTCAGTCTCTACAAGGTTCGCCATCACTGGTATAGCCAATCTGAGTTCAAAATAACTTCAAACCATTTCACAGCTAATGGAAGCATTTATATAAAAACAGTAATTATGACCACATAGATCAGTTAAATCACAGGGTATTAATAAGCAAGTATCATATTCAAAGTAGATGCTTGATTCACAGCTCTAAAATGAAGTGATTGGAAAGATAGAATAAACATAGTAATAATTCTGTGTGTATAGCACAGGCTTAAAATATATGTGTGGGTCTGAAGCTGACTCAAGATTAACAGGTGCATTTTTCATGTGTAAAATCTATAATATTAAACAAAACTGTTGGAGACTCAAGTTAAAATGAATTAACAATTGATATCACCTGTTAACATTTTTAGCTATGCTGTGGTCTGGTTGAGGTTTGCTTGAACTGAAAGGGACAGTGTGCTGAAATAAATATTTCTGTCTTTCTTAAGATTTCAATGGTATCAATAATACATATTCCAGATGCCAGTTATAGGCTTTCCTGCCGGATACTGTATCAGTATCTCCTTTTGGCCCAAGGTCAATTTCATGATCTAAAGGTAAGCTTTCAGATTCATTTTCTAGAACAGGGGGGGGGCTTTTTGTCAAAGATTGCTCTCTTCAAAAAGACAAAAAAGTTGAAGCCCCGGAATTGAGAGGCAAGGTGAGACAAGGGTTCCCACAGATAGAGAAATGGACTCTTCATAAGCCCCCATTGGAACCACAGTGTTGCAGAGAGAAAAACGAGCTTTCCAGGGATTTTGAACAAATAGCCATAAAACCAGAAAAAGGAGTATGTTCTTTAAACCAGCAGTTTTGTTTGATTACACACATCTAGAACTGATTTTTAATTGGTGCAGAAGTCTTGTGTAGTGATGCATTAAATAAGAGCAAAACTTTTTTATACATCAGCAAATCTATAATCTTTCGTAATTGAGGACTATAATTGTCTGGATTCTCTGAAGCAAGTTTTTCCAGTCTGCCTCTCTAAATTTCCTCTGTGCCTTCATCATTAGGTTTGTTGACAAACATTCTGGGCTCATTTCATAAATTAGGTTAAATTAAATTATGGCTTACATTATTATTGTTAAATTCCCAGATCAAAATAAGCCAAAAACAAATATGCCGTATTTGTTTTGCTCCTACTCCTATTCCTGCACTCTAAAAACTAATCATTTTTATATTATCACAGTCTTGTAGATCTCAGTCAGTGCATTTGATAGAAAATTTTTATCTGTCCCCCCCCCCCCCAGGCTCCTCTTGCAATGGGATTCCAGTAGAAAGTAAAGTTATGCCACAATTAGGGAAGTCTCTCTTTTCTTTATGCATTTATCTGAATAGCAGGACTCAGTGCACTTTTCGCATGTTTCTGACAACATGGTGAAAATGGGCACCATTCTCTTTCTTTTCCACTAACTTTCTACTGTCACTATTTTCCATTTCCTAATTTTCCACTGTTGCCCAACATGCCAGTGAAATGCCATTGTAGTATTTGCTCCCTAAATTCTTTTTTTACAGAAAAGATCTTGACTAGGCCATAAGGAGCCTTGGGTGTCCACATTTTGGCTCAAAATTACAATCTTACATATTTTGTTCCTAAAGTAGTATTCCTCAATGTCAGCAAACTTCAACTCTGGAACTTCCACACATCTTAAACTTGCTTAAACACTATCCTATAGTGACATATGGATATCTATTGAATCCAGAGACACCTTCCTTGGTGTTTGCCAAGCTTCCAGCCTAATCCAAATGTTTAGCTTTTGAGAAGAAACAAATGTCAACATAATGTTATTTCCAAGAAAGACTCAATGTCTGAAATACACCCCATTTGATTTATTAGAAAATAAAAATAAGTCTTTGCATTTTGCATAGAAATGTATCCATTTTCCCAGAAAGGGGACAAAGGTAACTGAGCATCAGGGAGTATTCTGTTAAAACTGCCCTTTTTTTAATCGCTTACCTGCCAATGCATTTAATTTGGGAAGGGGCAAGGCTTTCCCCAAGAGCCATGTTGCAGGAGTGACCACAACGTGTTCTGAAATTCAGCAAGTATCTGATAGTCCATAAAGGTGAAGATTCCTACTTTGTCCTAACCTAAGGTTTAGAGGGAGGAAAAGAGATATTTGTAAATGTTGGTTTCTTTCTTCTAATTTTTCCCATCTTTCCTCCACCAGCAACTGTTCATGTCTGCCAACAGCAATGCATCCTCTCTAAATGACTCTTTCTCCAGTGAAAGGACTGAAGACCACGTCCTGCTTGAAAAGACCGAGTCAGAAGTACTAGAGGAGAGCAGGAAGGACTGCATCGTCTGCCAAAATCGAGCAGTCAATTGGGTGCTTCTTCCTTGCCGACACACCTGCCTATGCGATGAGTGCGTGAAGTATTTCCAGCAGTGCCCCATGTGCCGGCAGTTTGTGAGAGAGTCATTTCCATTATGCAGTTAGAGAAAGTGAGCCTTGCAAAAGAAGTTCCTGTGTATTGTACTTATCAGGGACTCTGGCAAAGGATGGATAAACACTTCAGCTGTTGATTTTTGCAACAGTATCTTTGATCTCACATGTCCTTCTACTTGAATGATGTTTGGTGCCTGGAAAACTCTGAAGCAGCATTTTTATTTTCCTTAACAAGGCACTCAGAAGCATCACTGTGAAGGCCAATGACATAAGGAGCCTCAATTTAGTCTTCAGGAATGGGACAAAGGGGGAAGAATTTTAGGCAACAGAAGCAATGCACTGAACAATGAAGGACATATTTACAGAAAAAGAAATCTTTTTTAAGTATTTCCAGGACATATTATTTTTGGTTTATTCCAACCAACACAGAGCATATGGGGAACAAATATCCTCATATGTAAGAAACATTGGCAATCTTTATTTATTTATAATGATATTAGAGTAAATATCACATAGCTTGGCTTTCAGCCATTAGCAGTGTTGCACTTTTTAAGTTATAGTAGGAAGGGGGGAAAGGAAATACATAACAATTCTCTACATAGGTTCAGATGTCTTTTGTGTATTCCAGCCTTTGTCAGCTTTATGATCTTGAAATGATGCAGGCTGGAAGTTCTAGTGTCCTGACATATCTGGAATTGCCAAGTTGGGGGTGGCTAGTATATTCAGTTTTCTTGGGCTTGCTGGATCTAAGTGTTTACATTCATTTGCAGATGCAAGTATGGCATTGAGTGTGAATTGTCTTCCCCCCACAAAAGGATGTCTACAAGATGCATATTCAAGCAAATATTCATTGAACCGCAAATCAGTTTCCTCTTGTCTTGTTCTTGGACACTAAAATTTCATTTGCCTTAGGCAGTTTTAGACATGACGTGGGTGATGTCATGAAAGGCTGATGTGGTCCAAACTCAATGTGATGTAAATTAGTCTTTTGACAAAGGAGAGTTCATTTGAAGACTGTTATGTCTTTGAGTAGAAATGTTTTGCGTAGATCTTGCCTCCTGTCCAGGATATCACTTCTTGTCAGCAAGTGTTGTCAGCGTTTGGACACCTCACTCTGACCTATCCAAATTCCAGACATAATTTTAGCCCCTGTAGCAATTGTATGGTTTAGTTGAAATTAGAAGGTGTCTGCTGCATTCAGGCATACATCATGCATAGCCATAATTTCATTATCTGTTTTTGGTTGAGAATGTAGCCGGTTCTGGTTTATTAAAACAAAAGATGGGTTACAATATTTTCTTTAATGTGTGAATCTAAACAATGACTACATTTCCTACCTCAGATAGAATTATAATCAGCATTGTCACCCTTTAGGGTCATGTTAGTAACATGGAACACTAAGCCCTGTTGAATGAGAAGATGGGCAGCCAATACATTTTACTAATAAATAAACATACAAACAAACATTAGGTTCTCTGCATTCAGAGCATCAAAAGTGAATATGGAAAAAAAATATTACTTTCCAACTTTTTCTTTTCCATCTATAAAACTTACATAATTCAGCCATTATGGATTCACACAGCTTGCTGTGGTGTGCCAAACTATCAAGTTGTTGCTTATTCAGTAAGCAGTAGCTTAATGTAATGGTCAGCAATCACTTCAGGTGCCAGATATTACCACTATCTTAAATTATGGCACAGCCCACTCCGTACCTTACACTGAAGTATTATACAGCCTTGCTATCTCATTCAGAAGAATTTGTGAGATTTTTGTATTCACACCTAAAATTTCCAAATATGTCGATTTTAAAAAATAATGTTGGGATACCTCTGCTGATCTGTGGCTGACCACAATGAGATTACCTCTCTTTCACTTCATTCCAAAATCTCAGTGAGAAAAATTATTATTTAATTCTGTATGTACAAGAGCTATCATTACATAATAAAGAGAACAATGTACTCTGCATATGAATGAAAGGAACTAGGTTATACTTTTAGAAAGTCTGGTTTTTTTACTCATGTTTATTTCAGATTTGGTGTACAAGCTAAAGAACTAGCACTGTCCTCTTTTCTTTCCACCCTCCTCTTCTTCAACCTTGAAATATATGCTCAGTGAGAAATTTATTTCCTTATCTTATTTGTAAAAAGGAAGATAAAATCTTTCTGTAATTATTTCAGAATCATCAGAATTTACTTGTCTATATTCCATAGAGAGACTTGTCAATAGATGCCAATATTCCTTGTGCCTGCCAGACACACAGACAATATTGAGTTGGATGGACCAATAATCTGAAGTGGTAGAAAGTAGCTTCTAATCTTAGTAATCTTAATTAAGATGCTTGTCTGTGTGGACATTTTGGGGGGGGGAGCAGTCAGCCCCAAATCCTATTCCAGATGGGTAAATCTGAGAGGGATGCTAGGAGAAGAATGCAAGGAGAGGACCTATTGCATAGAATGTCAGTCCTATAATGGTGGGGGTAGACTTCTAATCTTCACAGTCCTGCTCATATGAGGGAGAAATACTTAGGACAGCAAAAATTCCTTGCTTCTTGCCAATGTTTTACCTATCATTTCAGACATGCTGGCTTCACATAACATAGTTATTTAATTAAACCAGTGTTCTGATTTAAATCATAAATTATATTTTATGATTTTTAATACTGTTGTACACCACCCATAGTCATATGAGTCATACCCATATGAGCCGAGGTGGCGCAGCAGTTAGAGTGCAGTACTGCAGGCCACTTTAGCTGACTGTGTTCAGCAGGTCAGCGGTTCAAATCTCACCGGCTCAAGGTTGACTCAGCCTTCCATCCTTCCGAGGTAGGTAAAATGAGGACCCAGATTGTTGGGGGCAATGTAAATATATATATACATTGCTTACTGGTGTACACCGCTTAGAGAGTGCTTGCACTTAAAGCGATATATAAGTCTAATAAATAAATAAATAAATAGTCAATTCTTGTGAGATGGGTGGCCATATAAATATAAAATTTAATATCTGGATTCACACAACATGCTAAGCCATAAGAACTACACCTGGTTAATATTTACCAATCTACAAAACGTAACTGTTGTGTCACTTTAATTCTAAATAGGTACCATCTCAGCTCCCTTTGATCATTATAGGCCTCAGGGTAGCCCAGGATTCCATCTGTGGCTCCAGAAGCACCCCAAGACCGTACCTATCATTTTCAGTAGCCAAATAGTGAGATTACTTTTAATCGGTTGCAGAGGTTTCTGAGAAAATTGGTGAGACTTCTAGAGAGACTTTTGAAATAAATGTTGCCATCTCTCACTTAAAAGGCCTCATAAAAAAAAAAAGAAAAATGAAACCGTTGCCATATTTTTTATTTGTCAGCAAGTTGCCAGTGTGTGATTTAGAAATACAATACTTGCCCACCTTTGATTTTCTCCAGGAATTTCAGTTCCCCCATCACCACCGCAAAAACAATCAGTGGAATAACCTGCCTCCAGAAGCTGTGGATGCGCCAACACTGGAAGTTTTTAAGAAGAGACTGGACAGCCATTTGTCTGAAGTGGTATAGGGTTTCCTGCCTGAGCAGGGGGTTGGTCTAGAACAGTGTTTCTCAACCTTGACAATTTTAAGGCATATGGACTTCAACTCCCAGAATTCCACAGCTAGCAATGCTGGCTGTGGAATTCTGGGAATTGAAGTCCACATGCCTTAAAATTGTCAAGGTTGAGAAATACTGGTCTAGAACAGTGGTTCTCAACCTTTTTAATGCCGCAACCCCCAACCGGTCGTAAGTTGAGGACTACTCAACCGGTCGTAAATCGAGGACTACTCAACTGGTGCAGCACCGTTTGCAGAATGGGACTTTTGGCGGGCTCAGCAGGGCAGAGACAGCCTGGACAATTCCTATTGGCTTTTGAAAGCCAATAGAATTAGACTCTATTCAAGAGAGTCTAATTCTATTGGCTTTCAAAAGCCAACAGAATAAAAGGGAGTAGCACAGCTAAGGAAAAGGGGGGAAAAACGGCAGACTGCGTTGTTTGGTGACCTCTGTGAAATGGTCGTTGACCCCAAATGGGGTCCCGACCCACAGGTTGAAAACCACTGGTCTAGAAGACCTCCAAGGTCCCTTCCAACTCTATTGTTGTTGTTACAAAGTTATTAAGTAAGTTGAACTAAGAGCAACTGGCCCCTATTCACCCAGTAAGTTTCCATGGCTGAGGCTGGAACCGCACCTCGGTCTCCTTAGCCCATTACACCAGGATTCTTGTTATTGTCCATGGCAAAATATAAAATACTATATGCATATAAATACTTCCTTGAGCCTAGATATCAATATTCACTCTCTGATATGCTCCAGAGGTAGCAAAGGCAAAGAAGTTTGGAAAGCAAAATTAACTAATGGTAAAGGAGTGATTATTTGCAGATTGTTAATTATATCTACTGGCCTTGTTTACATGCAGACATTCCTTCCGTTGTTCATTCCATCTCCAGGGTCTACAGCCGATCAATCCATGCAAACAGTTTTCCCCTGTCAGTGATGCCACCAGCTGATTTTTCATCCCTACCTCCATCATCTGTTGTTTTGTCAGCCTCTCAGGGCTGTCAGTGTCTTGATTAAGAAAATCTGAAGCTCCTTCAAATGTGATACCAGAGACAGTGCTGTAACTCCTAACAGATGGCTTCTGTTCTGTTGGCACGATGTATTTCATGTTTGCTTAATTAGTCGCATGTCATATTGAAAGCTGAAACGTGTTTGCATGCCAGGCAGAAGCACATAAGAGAAAGACTGGCCTTAGCCCTTATGTATAGCCTTAAGCTGGATACCCTCCAGATATATATTTTGTAGAATCAAAGCAATGGCATGAACTTTAGAGGTTATCTCATCCAATGTGCTATTCAGTGCAGGGTCCTATAGAAAATCCTCAACAGATGACCATCCAGCCTCTGAAGAACTCCTATGAAGAAGAATCTATCACATGTAGCAAGTTGTTCCACTGATTGCCAAATTGTATATATGGGAACAGATATTAAAATCCCAACACATTTGGAAGATGCTCAGCTGACGATGTCTGGGTTCAGAAACCATATGAAGCTATGACTTTTAACTGTGGCTTTTTTAAAAAAATGCCCTGGTTCATGCATAATGCTCAGCCATAAATCATGGTTTACAGCTATAATGGCTGAGTTCAAGCATTATCACACCAAACCAAAACCAAGTACAGTTGGGTAATCTATCAACCCCAACCATACAGTATAGCTATGATGTTTCAAGCAAAAGGCGATCTTATCTGGAGAAGTATTGCTCTACGCTGTACTCTGCAGTATTTATTTTGACTGAACCAGAAGAAGGAAAAAAAAAGGCCAAACCTCTATAGACAAGAACCCATCAGTTCTTCCCACTTAGTGAACTAGAACTCTCAAAATTCCTTAGTTCTGCAGCCAAATGAGTGCTTCACTCAATGTTAGAGCATATATTTTGCACACAGAAAGTTATTTCTAGCATTTCCATTTCAGAAATGTATTTGGCTGATTGTGGGATTTATGCCCACGGCATGCCAGTCTGTAACATTTTACAATAAGATATTAAACACTATTGAATAACAGCATTGAATAAAACAAATCAATAATGCATAAACAGCCCCCTCCAAAGTCCTCAAGCTGTAGAGGTAAAATGCAAAACAAAACAAAACAAAAAAGCCCTGGATGGGAATGCCTGTTTATAAAAATAGGTCTTTGATTTCTCTTAAGATCAGCATGTAAAGGCAAAGACCACTTCTCAGGTGCAGGGAGCTCCTGGCCTACTTGTTTCTAACTGGTCTTCTTAGCAATGTCTGTAATAAGAAGCCCACAAATGACAAACACCACTCTCAACTAGTAAGGTGGTAGACAAGGTGTTTCTCTAGGTAAGCAGGACTCAAGACATAAGAGGACTTTTTTGTAAAAAAAAAAAAAAAACATACAAGAAGCTAGTGAAAGAGTCACATGTTCCTGGAGGGAAACACGCAACAAAAGATTGCTTGCTGCATTTTGGACCCACCACAGTCTTGGTTTCCTTCAAAAATTCCTGTACATAAAATGCATTCTATCTGAGATGTGGATAGCATATGGATCACAAAGGCCAGGTCAACATTATCCTTAGAAAGGCAGAAATTAATAAGTGAAACACCCTTAAATGGGGTCAAGCACATTTCTCACTACTTTGCTCACATCCAGAGTATAAGCCCTTTCCTTAAGGGGAAATGTCACTCCATCCAAGGTTAGCAACATCCCTTCCAAAGAATAAAATTGTCACCAATCCTCACACTTTAACTTCAGTTTTAATCCTTCATCCAGGCTGCATTCCAGTTCAAGCAGAAGGTAACCATAAATGCCAACACATCTTTAAAAAAAAATCTGGATTATCCACATAAAGATGGCACCTATGATTTTTATAGTTTTATTTTATATATTTGCTGTTTAATTGTTGTACGCCACCCAGTATCACTTCCTGTGAGATAGGGGGGCCATATAAATTTGATCAATCCTTTCTTCCATCACTACTGTCTCTTCCTTTCATTTCCAGCTAGGTCTCCTACTTTACAGCTCCAGTTCTGTCTCCACCGCTAACATCTATTATCATTCTCTTAAAGTTCCAGAAGTTGAGTTTCCTATTACCCAATTCTTGGTTAATTCATTATATCCAATTGATTTGTTTCTCATTAATCCAGTTCTCATAAAGCTAAAGTAGAAGAGAACATCTGTAGCTCAGGGTTGAACTGTGGAGTACTTGGTGCTCTCTGAGCTTGGTTGTTTGGTTGCAGACATTTCATTACCCATCTAGGTAAATCATAAATCTTCCATTAATATTAAGATAGTATTTCTATTGCAAGCTTGCAGACTCCATGTCAGATCTCAGCATCTGCCTGCCATATTTGTATCAATATCCAGAGTCTTCACAAGTACTTGATCTACATTATTTGATGTGAGAAAAAATAAACCTAGCCAGTTTTTTT